ACATATTGCCTCACATTCACCCATTCACACACCGACGGTTTTTTGTTTTTAATTAATTAATCAATTGCAGTTTGCAAACAATATGCTCGAACTTTAATTGCCATAGCCACACCCATGACAGAAAACATATTTACAAAATAGTATCCTCCTCATCCTCCAATTCCTCGGTGTCCTCTGTTTCCAGTCTTTACTAAGAAATCCTATGAAAAATTATTTACAAAATCTTCTGCAGGACAGTTCAATTCTTTACAATAATATAATATATTATAAAAGAAAGTTAAGCTGTTACACTGAGATGGTTTAGGAAAACCATAAAGTGTTTTTGTACAGTCAATTAATTGTACAGGCAGCATTAAACCATCAAAGTTAAATGATTGTTTATAGCTTATGAATTTCCTAGCCTGTATTTTCTTTAGCAGGGGGTTTCAAACTTTTTAATGGCAATGAGCCCTAAACAATACCCTTGTGAGATTCTTTATTTAGGCTTATAATATAATAAAATATATGCCCAATATAATATAATATAAAAAAATGAATTGAAGTATTTGAAGTGATAGTTTAAATGCTTCAATTTGTTTTCATATTATATTATTATAATATGAAAACAAACTGAAGCATTTACTGTAAATAGCTAGATCTAATAGCTAAATATTTTCAAGAAAAGTCAATATGTGAACTCTTTTATAGTAGCCTAATCTGACCATGCCTGAAACTATTTAAATCTATGTAAACTAATGATGTATTTTGAGTTTGCACGCGGGTGTGTGTGTAATTGTTACCGTTCTGTGTCCATCATCCGTTATTTCCACCACTTTAATCAAACCACTCTTCTTTAAAACATGATATTGTGATTTTATTTCACATGTCTTTGCGTTTCTCGTCGCCTCTCGTATTGAGATAGGCTATTTGGTCCGCACACACGACTCACTGCCAATCACACGCGCTCAGATCATTCTCTTTCTTTGAAACATGTTAACTGCACTCACCAGTTTAAGCACTGCAATTATTTCTCACATACAATCAAATGGATTTCCCCACACATTTTGCGTCAGTCCTCTGCGTGGCATATTATTCTTTTCTGCGCGGCCGCGGCATCAGAAGTGCACGACCGCGCACGCGCGCAGCTTAGAGGGAACGTGATTCTTATGTTTATATATTTTGTATGTCGAATAAATTATTAATTATTATTGTTCTGCGTAGTTTGAAGATAAACATTTTTAAATATTTATCCCTGATATATATTTTTTTTAATCAGGAAGGGGGTGGGGGGTCAAATGGGGGGTCAAAGCATTTTTTGGGAGGGTCTTGAGACCCCCCAAGACCCCCCCTGGCGCCGCCTCTGCTTATGACCAGCACAAGTTTGATTATGCATTCTTGTCATTTTGCGCAGATAAGTCGTAATATAAAGTTGATGTAATATAAATATCTGATTAATCTCTCACATATGATGCGTTTCGTTCGTGGATTTAAACAACCTGCTAGAAAAGTTCTTCAGTTTTTGCCGGTGCTCGTTCTCTTCAGCTTCAGCGCGCGCAGATTAAACAACAATGCAAAACATTAAAAGCTATGATTGGGACTGTCATACAATTATAATTGTATTCACTATTGTAATACATTTGTAAATTCTTTGGGTTTGCATTCTTCAGCAACCGTTGAGTTCAATCAACCTTCTCTTCAGCTTCAGCGCGCGCAGCTCACACAGCAATGTCATTTGAAACAGTAACTATAAGCTATTAAAGATGTTTACTATCAATGTAATATTAATAAAAATGTTACATTTTTTTCAAAAACATTGCGTTATAATTAATAACTAACATTATTTTGTTCTCGTATTATTTTCATCAACGATATGGTTTGATTAAAATATTTTATTGTCCGTGCGGAGGCGATTCCATTTTATTGATCCATGGGACATGCATTTTGTTGCTTTATATGCAGCCCAATGTTATCCAATGACTTGTTTGCATTATTTATGGATTTAATTTTTTGTTAGGCAATAGATTTTTTGATAACACTTTACAATAAGGTCTCATTTGTTAATGCATTAACTAACAGAGAGCAATAGCCTTTGTTATTGTTAGTTAATAAAATATGTGCGTTCATGTTAGTTCACAGTGCATTGACTAATGTTAACAGATACAACTTTCTTAAAAATGTTTTATAAAATTGTTGGGTCATGCTAACTAATGCTAACAAAATTAAACCTTATTATAAAGTACCATTTTTTAATAAAGAAAGTTGTCCATATGAGTGTAAAATTATTTTTAAAAGTTGATGAATCTTACACTGGTTCAAACTAGGCTATACTGTATTGTATAGGTTTGATTTATGTTAAAAGTGTTTGAGACAAGGCTTTTAATGGTGAGCCTTTTGTTATACAGGCTATCAAAGTATATACAATTTTTTATTTAGATTTATCGGCCAATATATCGGTTATCGGCTTTCAAATGTAAAGAATTATCGGTTATCGGTATCGGCCAAAATGTTCATATCGGTGCATCCCTAGTTTACAGAGTTTGTTATAATGTCACATGTTAGCATATAATATTTTACAATGGCTTTACAACATAAAAAGCAACATAATATTATATATATATATATATATATATATATATATATATATATATATATATGAGATTAATCATGATGCAAAAACTCACCCATAGCAATAGCCGTCTTGCCCGTTCCAGGTTGGCCAGCAATGAGGACTGCACGACCAGCAATTTGACCATCTTTGATCATTTCAAGGATCAGCCCGGCTGCCCTCCTAGATGCCAGCTGACCCACCATCCCCTGAGACACCTGGTGAGAGAGAGGTTCAGCATTCTGTTTTAAACATACTGTGAGCAATATTTAAGCCAACGACAAGTACGTTGCCACTGGTAAATCAATCATATTTATTGAAAATTACCTGTCGTGCCTCCAAGGCATCATCCAACCCAAGGCCACGAATGTGAGAGTGTGCACCTGCCACAGAAGTCAACATTTAGCATCTGGCATGTAAATGCATATGGCATCTTTACATATAGCATGCATATGGCATCTTTACTTCCGTACATTCATTCTGTAACGTTAAATAAACTGAGCCATTTTGATCACACATATATACAGTATATATATATATTTGTGTGTGTGTGTGTGTGTTATGTTATTGTAATGATGTAATTAATTAAGTTTCTCACCAATCCTCTCAATGCGAGTGATGTCTCGCACCTCCGGAACCTTCGTGGTTGCAACCTTTCATAAATTAAAAAGGTAAACATAATTTATTAAATAATAAATATCAAGTTGTGTTTTAATGCTTCGTTGTGATATTTTCAATGTTTAATGCTTCGTTGGGAACTAATTTGATCAGTAAACAACCGTTAAGCGCGTGCGTTGCCATAGTGACACAGGAGCGCAACACAGAGTTTCCAGATAGTTGCACTTTTAGACATGCTAGTCAGTAAAGTGTAAACTGTAAGATGCGGCATCGTAATTTTACTAACGTTACCGCGATGACAATTTGTGGCAAATGCGCTAATAATGCAGTAGCTGCTATACATGCTGGAGTTTCATATTCCCAATAAAAACAGTGGTATGGAGGCTAAGCAACCATAAACACAACCTTTGGCCGCAGCCTAGTAAAAGAACAGCAACTAAAAAAGATTTTCAATTTCTGAATATCTGGATTAAAGCCATTTTCATGAATGCACATCGAAATCTCAAAGCTCTGGATTATATCTGAATAATTATTGTAATAAATTGAAGCACATGTGCTAAAAAGCGGCAAGCTTACAGAAGTAATGTTATTCACAAAACATTCCAAGGCCTTAAACAGACAGCACACAATAGCAGTAAATACATACATTATATTACATATATCCTAAGAAATTCGCACATTTGTCAATAATTCTAAAATAAAACGTTATATGTTGGACTTGCCTGGGCTGCCATGTTCTCTCCCGTCAGGCGGTTGTATCTGAATGGGTGCGCAGTGGAAACCAGTCCGGGTGGAACACGTGACTTCGAGCCTGAGTTCTGGATGTGTGCATGTACTAGATAGCTTCAGCTTGTCACCGAGGTAAAATAAGCTTGTGAACAGGACTAGCCTTGTTAGCATCAGTAAGAATGGGCTGAACAAATAACATAAACAAATCAATAATGTTTTGTCATGTACACCAGTATTTTCCAGCAGAAGACTGTGAATTATTTCAGATTTCATTTATTTTACAGAACTACTTTTAAAAGCTTAATATATCATGGAAAAATTATATATATAAAGAAATATGTATCAATATAAATTTTAATTTAAAGTGTGTAATTTTTGTCAACACCTTGAGAAATAAAGTAGGAAGAAAAGGACAAGTATAAATCTGAAACAAACCAGTTGAATACTGCCTTTCTTTCTTTCTTTCTTTCTTTCTAGACTATCAGTAAGTAAATGTGAGTGGAAGGGGGGGGGGGGGGGGGGGAATCTGTCAAGATTTATTTTTTCGAAAGCCCCATTGTTGAGGGAGATGTGATTGCAACCAGAAGAGGTCACTCTTGTGTTATGTTTGAGGTTACTTGTCATTAGGACCATCAGATCTTTATTATACAATGTTCAACCACTGGCTCTGCCCCCTTTTACCTAAACTCATTATTTCAGACTTGAAAATAATTAAGAAACTTGCGCTCTGCAAGTGAACGGCGTCTTGTGGTGCCATCTCAAAGAGGCACAAAATCTCTTTCTCGGACCTTTTTCTGGTCTGTTCCATGCTGGTGGAATGACCTGCCCAACTCAACCAGAGCTGCGGAGTCCGTGGCCATTTTCAAGAAACGGCTGAAGACGCATCTTTTTCGGCAACACTTGATCTATTAATACTAACACTTTATCTTCTAACTATTTCTGTGGGCAGCATCTGTGCATCATTTTCCCAATATGTCAAATAAACGATTCAACAACAATTTAAATGAGACTTTTATTATGTTATCATTAATGCAGACAAAATGACCCACATAAATCAAACTTAAAATTTACTGTAAAAAGCTTTTTTATGAGCCTGATTAACCTTCACACTCATTAAACAGTACAATCACACAGATGGACAAAATATTAAAGATTTTACAGTTTCGGTGAGGGCTGAATTCTCAGAAAATGATCTAAAAAAGTTTTAAATATTTTCTATATATATAACTTTTATTTTTGTAATTTCGTTTTTGTAATTCATACTTTATATAATCATATTCTTTGATATGTCAAAGATTAAAACATTAAGTATTGTGATCAGCTTCACCAGAAATTCATTTTTTTTTTTAAACACACACACACACAAGCAATTTAAAAGAAAAAAGAAAAGAAAAGAAAAAGAAATAATGCCCTCATATCCAGTTCAACCATTTACACCTGACAAATAGTAATAGCAGACTCATACCACACCCAGAAGCCAGGATATACCGGCTCACTGAAAGAGGCTTTAAACTGATGAATAAGTGACATAGACTCAGACACATTGTAGAATGAAAGAGTGCCTCCTTCACAGTCCAGGAACACCCCGATACGGGAAGAGTAGGGTGCGTTAATCTCAACCTGGTCTTTGTTGTGTCGGGCTGAGTAGCTGGAGTTGGAGCAGAAGAGACTCCAGGACTTGCGGTTGTAGCCGATACGAGCTGAGTCCCCATAACCTGTCCTCTTGATGCCTTTAAAGGTGACACCAATGGAAGCGCCCTCCCCGCTCCACTCCACCTCCCAGTAGTAAGCACCTCCTGAGAGAGTCTCTTTACACAGGACCTGGGGCAGGCAGTCAAATCTCTGGTTGCTCTCGTTGTAAGACTGAGGGTCTCTCTTTAATGCTGCTTTCCTGTTGTTTCGGGAGAGGTAGAGCTGTCTGTATGCTGTGTTGGGGTCGAGAGTTAGCTGGCAGGCGTCTTTAAAATAAACAAGATAGATGAGAGATGATTAGGATTGGTTAATCAAAACTTTTACATTTTACATTTACATTGTGAATGCGAATGTGTAAAGACAAACAAAGTTTCGTTGTAATTTTGAAGACACCCCTGCTCACAATGAATCTCAGCCCACTTTGCATGCAATCTTGATCCATGTACATGTTCTTTAAAAGCTACATTTTTGTTTGAGACTGGATAAAATAAGTGCCATAAGTGATTTTGTATGCATTAAAAATACCAATGTGCATGGGTCAAGTTAAGACACACAAGAGACCACAAGTTGTATATATAGGCCTATAATTAATTGTAAAATGTAAAATAAAAAACACATCAATCATGTTAGCAGTGTCTAGCATCAAAGTTTTTTTTTTAAGAGAAACACAAAATGACAAGACCGGCATCATTGCACGTTTATCTTAAGCTATCCTAGGCTAGGATTCCTGATCTGGGAACAGTTTTGCAAATTATGGTCTATGAACAGATTGGAGCAAAACTGATCCTTGATCAGCTTTCCTGATGTAAGGTGATACATGCATGAGGACAAATCACCTGCCTATGGTTGAGTATAGTGGTTGAGTCTGCACATTGGCTCTCAGAGCTGGTTGGACATTTGGTGGTGGTTTCTGCCAGAGGTGCGTGAACGTCTCTGATCTAGAGGGCCGAGAGTGTCGATACACATTTAAGACACCCTATATACTTTCTCAAACCATGAAACTTTGCATAATTATAAGTTGTCTTCTGACTTACACTATCGCTTAAAAGGTTGGGGTTCGTAAGATTTTTTTTGAAAAAAGTCTCTTCTGCTCATGAAGGCTGCATTTATTTGATCAAAAATACATATTATAAAATATGTATTATAAATATAAATACAATTATAAAAATTTACCACAACTGTTTTATATTTTACTATAGTTTTAAATGTAATTTATTCCTGATTATTGCTATTATTATATTATTATTAGCTTGAAAACAATTGTGCTGCTTACAATTTTTATGTAAACTATAATACTTTTTTCAGATTTTTTTTTTTGATGAACACAAAGTTCAAAAGAACAGAATTTGTTTTCAATATAACTCTTTTGAAACATTATAAATGTCTTTATTGTCACTTTTGATCAGTTTAATGCATCCTTGCTGTATGAAAGTATTATTATTATTTTTTAAACATCGTCATGACCCCAAACATTTGAACAGTAGTGTAGGTAGAGTGTTTTTGTCCTCTAAAAGATCACAGCTGATTGTTCTCAGAAGAGAAAACGAAACATCTAAAGGTTTGAAGGATGGCAGTTATCATGAATCACCCATTCACCCACTCACTGAGCAGACTAAGCCTGTTCTTACAATATGCTTGAACAAAAACTCAGTATGTAAGGAATGATGTTAGACTACTCCCACTAGAGTTTGACATTTAACAGGACGGAAGCCAGCATGCTTTCTTAGCACTTTATGCAAGGTACTAAACATATAAAAAATGATATAATATTTTGATTAATCATTACCAGAGGTGAGAATTCTGCTGACCTTGAACTTTTCATGTTATCGCTACAACAACTTCCTCTGGTCTTGGGCATACATGTAAAAAGGAAATTATTGTATGAAAATAAACTTACACTGGAGGAGATCGTCCCTTGTCCGGGGAGTGTTGCTGGGGCTCTTGTACATCATGTCAACTACATCAGCTAGAGACACAATAAAGAGAGTCAGAATGATGTCAAGAAACATCTAATCATTTAATTCATCTGATAGCAAGCAAACAGATTATCTTGTATCATGTACCAGATCTGGGCCACATCTGGAACATGTGGATTCAATGTGTACCAGATGTGGGCTGGATCTGGGCTGGCACTATGTTGCTGTCTGGGATGTTACTGACAAAAAGGAAGTACCTTTACTTTACTTTCTGAATGGCACTGTAGGTAGGCTACTTTCACATCAATGGTGATAAAACAATATGCTACTGTTAAATAGTTTATGGTAACACTTTATTTCGATAGTCCACTACTAACAACTATGTCAACTACCAAACATTAGAGTATTATGTTTGTAGACTGTCAGTGCTTAATATCTACTAACACTTTATTTTAATGTTTCCCCAACAGATGTTCTGACTATAAGTAACTTTGCAAGTATACATCAACTTATTCTACTAACCCGAACCCTAACCTAACAGTCAACTAAAAGGATTCTGGTCTACTAATACTAAAATGAGAGTTAGTAGACATGTAGTAGCAAATTATGAGAGTAAGTTGGCATGTTGCAAAGTTACTTAGAATATCTAAAGTGGACTATCGAAATAAAGTGTAACTAAGTTTGAGGTCTGTAATATTTTTTTAAAGAAATTAATACTTTTAATCAGCGAGGTTGCATTTAATTGATCAACAGTGACATTAAAGACTTTTACATAAAGACTTTTACAAAATAGTTCTATTTCGAATAAATGCTGTTTTCTTTTTTACTTTCTACGTATCAAAGAATCCTGGGTAAAAAATGTTTTATCGGTTTCCACAAAAACAAATTAAGCAGCACAAATGTTTTTGTTGATAATATTGATAATAATAATAAATGTTTCTTGAGCTCAAAATCAGCATATTAGAATGATTTCTGAATTATAATGTGACACTGAAGACTGGAGTAATGATGCTGAAAATAACTGGAATAAGTTACATTTTAAAATGCATTCAAATAGAAAATATTTTTAATCAAATAAATGCCAATACTTTCAAAAACATTTAAATTCCCCAGACTTTTGAACAGTAGCGTATGTTCAATTAAATGGGAAATTAAAACATCCATGATGTGTGTGCATTTCATATAAGAGATTAGCTAATAAATATGAATTTTAATGTGATGTCGGTCTTAAGATCATTGCTTAGCAACCGGTCAACAATTTCTTGGAGCCCAACACTGGCTTTTGACAAATGCCATTCAGATGTTGCAAAAAAAAGAAAGAAAAAAATGCCATTCCAAAATTCCAGCTATTTTGCACAAAACGAACAGCAGACCAGCTAAAGTTTCCCATTTCCATATACTTACACTTTATAGTCTTTTTTTTCTTACGGTCCTCTAGCTGGCAGAATGGCATCTTGTTCACTGGGAGAGAATTGAGAGTTGTGAGGTAAGTCAGTTTAAAGATAAGAAGAACCATAATAAACGAGAAAGAGCATGATTTGTTTAATCACTCTCCTGGGACAAAAAGAGACAGAGCATTTCAAAATGGGTATGAGACAACGGCTAATAAAACAAGGATGTCTCTGAAAGTTTGTAGGTACTAATTACATTGGATTACATTAGACAAAAAAATCCTTTCAGACTGGACCATACCTGTTTTTGCCACCTTGACCAGCTCTTCATTGCTGAACTCACTTAGATGTTGTTTCATCTCAGAGACGGTCTTGGTAACAGGACCGAAGGAGAAGTAAGGGTTCACAGTAACAGAGGGAAGCTCCTCGGCATCAGTCTGGGCAATCAGCATATGGTAACTCTGCAACGACAAACAGAACAAATCTTAGTCTTATTTTTCTTACAATAAATTGCCCTGGGCTGCGTTTCTCAAAAGCATTGTAAGCTATGTTGACCGTAGAGATCATTAGTGTCAATGGTTCTACAATACAAGCACACATATTTTCTCGCATACTAATGGCTCTAGGAGAAGCAAAGAATATTTTGCACAGTATTTCATTTCATTATCTGTGAAATAGTAGAAAAACTACTTAGAACTAAATATTTGTACTTGAATGCAATAGATCCTGTGTGAAGTAACACAGTAACACATCTCTCCACATAATGTTTATTGCACTGCTTTAGCTCTGTGAATGTTTATTGTGTTCGGCAGACTGCGTCTCAGTCACCTGGATGAAATGGATGTGGTCCTCAGTGCGAGAGAGTTGTGTCAGCTCATTGTCTCTCCTCTTCAGGTCAGCAATTTCATGCCCCAGACGCTCCATGTGGCCCTCAGCAGTGTTAAGTGCAGCCTTCTTATTGGTCGAGATGAGTTTGGTCATTTCCTGTTGCATTCTTTCAATGGAACGAAGCATGTCACCGAACAGCTTTTCACTCTCCTGCAAGGCCCGTTGTGCTGAACTCTGAAAGAACAATTGTAATCAGTATTCTGTTTCTAGTTCTGCTTAATTTTCTTTCTTGGAAATTCATAACCTATTATTTTTTATACACTCATCTATTTACAAAACATTCCTGGTTCTTTCTGAGAACTCGTCACTCCAGAGCAGAGTAGACCAATAAATATTTCTGAAACATATTCTTGCTTACCGGAGATATGATGTTGATCTTGTTGTGTTACCTTATATTTTTATGTATAATTTATTGATTACATTTATTATTGCACGTTTCTGTTCAATCTCCTGACAAACCTTAAGTGCATCCACTGCCTGTTTTAACTCTTCCATTTGCTTCACTCTGTCATGGATCTTCTCCTGGATTTCAGCTTGGGTGGCACCCAACCGTTGCTACAGACGATTAAAAACAACAAATTCATTACAATGAGGTGCTGACAAAGGAATGTTGTAAGTACAGCATCCTACCACACCTCAGCCACTTCCACATGACAATATAGTCACTTTCGGATACTCTATTTAACTCTTTGTGTACTGAATATGAAACATTCTCATCATCTTAAAGCATATTAATAATCACTTATATCATTAAAATGTAAACTGATGGGTTTGTTTACTAAAATATTGCTCCATTCTTTTGCATTTAAACCCAACGTTGGTTATAACTTTGGTTATAATGAGTGTGTAGCAATTGTGTGTTTTCTTTACTGTTAATAATGAAACCCTTCCTCAGTAGTAGGCCTACACTGTATAAAAAGGTTGTAAATAAAACAAAGATTACATGTTTTTTATTCAGTGTGTTATTTGCCTATTCTTTATTATATGTGAAATTTACTAGCAATTTCTGAGTGAAATTATTTCTAGCCTACACCAAAGTTTTTTAAGTGTACTACAGCATAGATCATTTTCATATGTTTGTTTATCGGGGGTTGGCTAATCTTATACTCAATCTAGCATATTCAAACACACTGTGAAAGTCATTTTTTTTGCATGAATAGGTCCATTGTTGCATACAGGAGTTGAAAGGTTAAACAGTCTTTCATAATGTTACCTCTGATGTCTACTTCAGTGATTATCACCAATTAATGTGTTGTCATAACAGCTTCACCAGCGTAATATTTCCAAAGGTAAAAATAGGATCACAATTGCACTTTTGTAATGCATATGATGGAATCTTACCTGCATTTCCGCCCTTTCCTGTTCAGCGGACACCATGTCATGGCCCTTGTGCTCTTTCACTGTACACAACACACAGATACACATCTGGTCCGTTCGGCAATAAAGCTCCAGACCTTTCTGGTGCTGAGGGCAGATCTGACGATCCAGGTGTCCGATCTCATCGACCAACTTGTGTCGTTTGAAAGTGGATGATTCGTAATGGGGCTTCAGGTGCTTCTCGCAGTAGGAAGCGAGACACATCAGACAAGACTTGACAGCTTTGAGCTTCTTGCCGATGCAGATGTCACATCCCACGTCTTGAGGTCCAGCGTAGTTGTAGTCGGGGGCCGGAGGGGCTGGTGGGAAAGAGTCTGAATCCCTGTTTCTCAGGGATGACGACGAACTGCGTGAGGACTGAAAGCGGCGTGGATTAGGCCTCTTGTTGTAGGCGACCCTGCACTGGGGACACAGGTATTGTCCAGTGTGGTCTGCATGGTCCCAGTAGGTATTGATACAGACGGAGCAGAAAATGTGACCGCATGGGATGGAAACGGGCTCCCTGAGATCTTCCTTGCAGAGGTAACAGAGCTCCTGGTCAAGCGACATGGTTAAATCCCCACAGATCTCAGAAGAGGATATGTGTGTTTGAGTGCGAGACAGGAAAAGTGAGTCTAAAGTGCCACCACAGCAAGTTATATAGAGTAAACAGGGAGGGAGGCTAAACTGGTTATGCAGAAACCAGTAAATGAATGGGGGAGTGGCTGTGCCACAGGTGAAGAGGGTGATCGAGAGAAAGAAGAAACATGTATCATCAGATGTCAATGGAAATGATAACAGTGAAGAGGAAAAGCATGAATGAAATGTATGATCTCAGGGCATAAAATTGTTTAAAATTTGCTCTTGCATCACATATACTTTTTGGACATGCATTTCTTTTATATTTGATAAAGCTTGTCTTGTGACTACTGCTTTTCGTGGCAAGCAACGATCTCATCGGTTGAGTGTTTATGGGCAGTTTTAGGGGCCTCATGCTGGCAGACATCTTAATGTTGGGTATGTGCTCCACTGCGGAGGAGATGCCTGATGGATGAGTGCTTACAGACCAAGCATACAGTGACCTTTGGCACACGCCATCAAAGCTGGAGGGTAATTTATTTGGAGGGAGGATGAGTATACTTTGGGTTTTTTTTGAGGAGGAAAGTATATGTTTTTTTATTAAGAGTCCATAACCACCAAACATTTGAGTTGTGTGAAAGCCGGCATAGTTGTAGCATGAGGAGAGTCACTGTCAGTGATCATTTAGAAATTAGTTACGTTGTGAATCATACATGACCACTATCCTCCTGAAGTGAGCCTCTGTGAACGGATATAAAAGGACAAAAACACTTCTGAGATATAAAAATCAGCATTTCACTTCTCTGCAGTAATTTGATTTTCAATCTTTCAGGTTAATGCTTGTTAAACCACTGAACTTGTATCATTTCAGTAATTACAGATTATCTTTATACAAAGCATCTGCTCAAAACTTTTACATAAATGCTTCATGTCTGAGTCATGAAAAAAAATCATGTCTGAGAAGGCAAGGAGGGTTGTAATTTCAAATTTACTTTCAGACCCCAAAAATGGGACAGTATAGGCAGACCCTTTTTTCTAACTGTAAAAGGGACTCAAATACAGAAACATACTGTCTTAGGTTCTCATAATTCATTATAATTGTAAATCCCATTGTAAATCCCATTTTTAATGTATTTCTTTCATCATTTGTTCACAGTTTTAGATTTCTTTTTTTTTAACCTTTGCTTAAAATACAATAGGGTGAAGTTGAGGGAAGTGGTTGATCTAAAAATAATTCTGAACAATAAATAAATGCATGTATTTAAATTCGGTATGGGGAAGTTTGTATGACCAGCTTTCTTATACTTAATTTACACAGTTCAGGAAAAATTTTGAGATTTTAAAATAACTGCAGAAGTACAGATGAATTTGGGGAAATTATATCAAAGTTTGAGAAACACAACACAGTTTCAGATGTTATAAAGCAAAGAGTGTTACAACCATCCTCAGTCTGGTAGTGAAACGCAACTGACATTTCAAATGTATTTAATTATCCTACTGCAGAAAAAGTACACAACATATCGTACATTTGCTCTAAATGAAGCAGCTGTGGTTTCTTCCAGCAACAGCGGATCCATTTTCCTAAGAAAAGGCGTTTATTCCTGTTGCTCAAAGAAGATGGAAATAAGTGTTTGTTTTAGATTAGCCTCTCTCATCTCTCTAGAGCATACATCCTCTGTACAGCACAGTCCACAAAGCTCCAGGAATCTCTGTTGCAAAACAGGAAGTGGAAGTGAATTTTCCGTGACTCACATTCAGTGTGGTGAAAAGCTAATTAGAACATTTCTACTAGGATTGCAAATCCACCCCTTATATTTCTCACCAGATCTGATTCATTTATTTTATTTTACCAATTGCAATTGTTTTTTTAAACATTAATTTATGCTTTTCCATTATTCATGTTTTTTTTATATATATATAGAAACCTACATAATTGAATATCCAAAATCAAGAACACAAACTGACATAGAAAAGAGCAAAGATGTATGCCCATCTCAAACTAAACTCAAGATTCCTCTTACTTAAGATGGCTGTCGGCTTGTAAGTTCAGTAACGAGAGCAAAAATGTTGGCAGGAATGCACTCTGACCTGATAAGTGAGATAACAGAAAGTCAAGAGAGGCCTGCAAAGGTGAAAGTTTCCACTGTTCAAGAGAATATCCAGACTTCAGCAGGACATGCAGTCTGACAGTGCCGGAGAGTCTGCAGCCAATCTAATGACATGTCTCTGATTCCGGATCATCGCCTAGTCTGTACAGTCATAGTTCTAAAGGTCTTCAGCTCAAAATAGTTGATCGAATTTGACCTTTATGACAGAGATCATTTGCAGTCTTAAAATAAAACTTTAATTAGTTATGATGGGTCACATTGAGAATAGTGTTTCAAATATTTCTATATAAATAATAAAGAGCTTAAATGCTTTTCTAATAAATTGTACAATAGCCAACAAACCCCTTGACCTATGCTGTGTGGTTAGTGTGCACTGTACTGCATGTAGAGTATTTATGGCTGATCTTGTCTTTCCTGATCACTCTGTAACTGCCTGTCATGCCACAGCACCACAGTGACACGTTTGTAAAGAAACATGTAGATGTGAGTGCAACACAATAATAGACTGGCATATTTTCAAGACAGTTTATCTTTCTGTCTCTCATATTTGTTGAGAAAGAGCTGCGTGTTCAGACTACATTTCACAAACCTTTTGTACATCAGCATAGTGATACGATTTTTACAGCAAGCAAAAGAAGAAACGCCATTTTTGAGCTTCAGACATGTCAGTTATTATCATGTGCTAATATACACTCACCGGCCACTTTATTAGGTACACCTGTCCAACTGCTCGTTAACACTTAATTTCTAAGCAGCCAATCACATGGCGGCAACTCAGTGCATTTAGGCATGTAGACATGGTCAAGACAATTTCCTGCAGTTCAAACCGAGCATCAGTATGGGGAAGAAAGTTGATTTGAGTGACTTTGAACGTGGCATGATTGTTGGTGCCAGAAGGGCTGGTCTGAGTATTTCAGAAACTACTAATCTACTGGGATTTTCACGCACAACCATCTCTAGGGTTTACAGAGAATGGTCCGAAAAAGAAAAAACATCCAGTGAGCGGCAGTTCTGTGGGCGGAAATGCCTTGTTGATGCCAGAGGTCAGAGGAGAATGGCCAGACTGGTTCGAGCTGATAGAAGGGCAACAGTGACTGAAATAACCACTCGTTACAACCGAGGTATGCAGCAAAGCATTTGTGAAGCCACAACACGCACAACCTTGAGGCGGATGGGCTACAACAGCAGAAGACTCCACCGGGTACCACTCATCTCCACTACAAATAGGAAAAAGAGGCTACAATTTGCAAGAGCTCACCAAAATTGAACAGTTGAAGACTGGAAAAATGTTGCCTGGTCGGATGAGTCTCGATTTCTGTTGAGACATTCAGATGTTAGAGTCAGAATTTGGCGTAAACAGAATGAGAACATGGAACCATCATGCCTTGTGACCACTGTGCAGGCTGGTGGTGGTGGTGTAATGGTGTGGGGGATGTTTTCCTGGCACACTTTAGGCCCCTTAGTGCCAATTGGACATCGTTTAAATGCCACGGCCTACCTGAGCATTGTTTCTGACCATGTCCATCCCTTTATGGCCACCATGTACCCATCCTCTGATGGCTACTTCCACCATGTCACAAAGCTCTAATCATTTCAAATTGGTTTCTTGAACATGACAATGAGTTCACTGTACTAAAATGGCCTCCACAGTCACCAGATCTCAACCCAATAGAGATCTTTGGGATGTGGTGGAACAGGAGATTCGCATCATGGATGTGCAGCCGACAAATCTGCGGCAACTGTGTGATGCCATCATGTCAATATGGACCAAACTCCCTGAGGAATGCTTCCAGCACCTTGTTGAATCTATGCCACGAAGAATTGAGGCAGTTCTGAAGGCAAAAGGGGGTCCAACCCGTTACTAGCATGGGGTACCTAATAAAGTGGCCGGTGAGTGTATAATCACTTAACCAGATATTCTTCACAGTTGAGCAAAGGAATAGTTTTCACTGTAAACAGTGAACTTATGAGGCTAAAAAAATATTTTTTAATGATTGCTTTCAATGCACAGGACTCACTTGTAAAGCTCCCTGATATGCGCTCTTTTGAATGGTGGTATTCTTTTGTGGTTTTTGAGAGTTCCGTTCTGCACAGCCTGTTCAATTTTACCTGGCAATACGCCAGATGAGCAGCCAAACACACACACATACACATACAGTGCACTTTGCCTTTCAGCCAAGACTCACAAAGGTGACCATTGTTCATGGAAACACTTGTAAATACCTTGTTTCCACGCACTTTATGCACTGACCAATCAGATTGACATGGCAACCCCTTGGTTTTTACAATAACAACACACACCTATGCAAGCTCACTCTCCACACTTACTCTGTCACCCTCCATCGGGCACACTCCCCTTAATCAGGTAGTTTAATGAAACTTGTCCTTTGACCCTTAATATACACAAAGAAACAGGAGACCTCTGGCAGGCTTACTCAAGTATGCAGCTTCTTCAATAGGAAAATGGTCCCTCGTGAACCAATGTGAACTCAGTGGGGTCAGCATGAGGGTGTGGAGAACAATAAAGGTTGTGTTAAAGGAACTGATTTCTTTTGTATGGTTTACAACATTTCCTCTCTAAGAACTATGAAGACCATGAGAACAATATGAGGACCGACACTCCATGAATAGGCCCGTTCCTTCATTTTAAAATCATTACTTCATGCTGCAGTTGGAGAAACCTGCAAAAACTGATGTTAAATTTGCAATTAGAGGCCTAAACTAGCAGGCTAGCTGAGTTAATGAGTAATCGCAGCCTATACCTTGCACTGTAAATGGAATCTGTTTAACTCAGGGAAAAGGGGAAGAGAAACTGGCTTATCAGAGTACAGACCATATAAGGAGAGGGGTGAAACTATTCATGAAGTGATGCAAGATTTGTGTTTGGGGCAGAGCTGATGGCAGGACCTTGTGTAACCAATCAGCATGTAATAGGTGTGGGTTTCTGTCACTGTGGCGTCACCTGGGCTCTGGCTGGACCAATGGCTTTCAGTCTTCATCTAAAGTAAAAATACACAAAGTCAATAATTAAAAAGATATCAACCACAATGCATGCATTTTCCTCTCAACTTCAAATCTGATTTCTTCCACACAACCATAAAACACATCCAGGAAAAAGAGACAGAAAAAGCTTCACAGTAACAGTAAGAACGTCTTTGGAAGGTATTTGAGCTAATAAAAAGATAATGTCCTGTGCACCAATACTGCAGTTGGTGACACAAGTTACATGGAATATCACATTCTATGAAAACTTAGCCTAAGTTCAAGCATGTCCCTCCTACAGATTCAGAGATATTTAGAATCAAAACAGGTGAAACTAACTCACCCTAAAGCATAAAGAACAGGGACCCCTACTCTCATCATATTATTGCACATTTTTCATTTCAATTACAGTTAATTAGATAACTTTAAATAGTATGTCTTCAACCTTTATATTTATGTTCATGAAGAACTCTGTATCACCTCTGGGACTTACAAAGAGTGCCTGTTATGTTGGCGGCAATTACCAGTGCGAATTAATCTAGTTGTGTGTCAAGGATAGTGCCAATGTGCAAATATTTGTAGCTAGGACAAACTATTTTGAAAATGTCAAGTGTTAGAGGTTTGAAATATTCTTAAAAAACAGAAATATTGTTCATTCTTTTTTCTGCCACACCCATCGAAAACAAACTGATGACATATTTTCAAGTCTGCAACACCCAATCCAGTTCAACTGGCATTAGTTCATACATTCAGATCAAACGCACCTCATAGACTGACTGTTACTATTGTTTGTTTAGTGCAGTGAGCAGAGTAGCACATGCCTTTGTGTTGTGAAAAAGGCAGTTTCAACACAATATATTTTACAGTGGCAACTTTATATGTCAGATTATATACTGCTTTAAAAAGCCAGATAGGTGTGCTACAGAATGAAATAAAATGTATAAATAAAACCAAAAATGCTACATTTTAAATATTAAAACTCTCCATTATTAAAAAAAGCTCCATTATTTATCTAAGCTCAGGTAGCAGTTTTCAACCAAATAGGCCTATCATTTAAAGAATGAAAGCAAGAGAGTATCCTAGACAATAAACAAACTATGTAACATCGGAGCCAACCAAGAATGGCCAATTATTAACAGATTGTAGTTTTAGGGTAACTGATGCAAATGTCCTTCAGCTCCTCAGCAAATGGATAAGCAGTTTGTGTGTGTAAAACAGAGAGCTTTTCATTTTTAAGTTTCATCCTGGATGGCCCTGCTTTACACAACAATTCATTCATTCTCAACTGTACCTTTTTTCTTCGATGTCTTTCACTCCACCCCTGGTCCCTCCCTCCCTCTCTCTCTCTCTCTCTCTCTCTCTCAAGACTCCTGGCTCAACCTGTTTATCTGAGCTGTGTTGTGCTCTAATCTCTCTCTCTCTCTCTCTCTCTCTCTCTCTCTCTCTCTCTCTCTCTCTCTCTCTCTCTCTCTCTCTCTCTCTCTCTCTCTCTCTCTCCTTCCTCTCTTCAGCACACTCCCTCAGTACAACGGGGAGGGCTTTGCTTCCTTTAATTAATAACCTGTGGAATTCAGAAACTCAAGGCTGTCTGTAGTAAAACACCAGTCACGCAGCGTTCGGCTCCTCTTTCTCTCTCGGAAACATTTCAGACGTTTGTTTTTGAATAGAGTGCAAAAAATATGGCTGAGCAACTGTCTTCAGATTACTTCAGCTGCCCTCTATGTACGGAGCTCCTGAGGGACCCTGTGGCGATCCCGTGTGGTCACAGCTTCTGCATGGACTGTATCAGCGGCTACTGGAATGAGGCTGATTACACTGGCATCTACATCTGTCCCCAGTGTCAGATCACGTTCACCCAGAGACCCGTGCTGAGGCCAAACGCCACTCTCACCAAAGTTGCGGAGAAGATTAAGAAGACTGGCTTAAACTTAACGTCTCCTAGTAATGGAATCTATGCTGGCCCCGGGGATGTTCCTTGCGACTTCTGCAGTGGAAAGAATTTCAAGGCGGTCAAGTCCTGCCTCAACTGTCTTGCCTCTTACTGCGAAAAGCACCTGAAGCCCCACTATGAGTCCGCCACATTCAAGAGGCACAAGCTGGTGGATGAGCTGGGGAACCTGGACCGTAAGATCTGCCCTCAGCACCAGAAGAGCCTAGAGTTGTTCTGTCGTACAGACCAGATGTGTATTTGTGCTCTCTGTACTGTAAGCGAGCACAAGGGTCATGACATAGTCTCAGCCGAAGCAGAAAGGAGTGAAAAACAGGTAAGGAAAAATAGACTGCTTGAGTAAACTTACCTGAGGTAACTGAGAGGCTAGAGGGGTGGCTGTTGGGTTACAAGTTGAATTTGAAATGATTATATTAACTAACAAGAAATGTTCTTGAGATTGTATAAAAGAGGTCTTCTTAAAAAAAACTGCCAAGAAGTCATGTAGATACACCGTATAACCGGTTTTGTGTTAACACAAACATGCTGATCCAGATCATTACAAAAAACTGATGAGGAAATATGGAAAAGAAAGGAGGAGACGATGATTAAACTGATTGAAATAGAAAAGAAGCATAGTTAGTGAAAACTTTCCCAATACAACTATGTGAGTCACAAAAAGGGTGTGTTCCTCTACAATGGACAACTCAGAGGTTACTTGATTTAAACACTGTCCAAACCTTTCTGAGATGATCTGTTTTTGTGCAAAGAAAAATAATAACTGTTATGAGCAACGAGGGATGAGAAACTGGGCAGGTCTGTATTCTTTTGTAGGGAGAGGCAAGGAATGTGAATTTGAGAAAATCAGGAGGGAGCGTACAGACCATCCCAGCCTCCCCCTACGCGCTAAGGGCGAGAAAAAAATAGCGCACTGCTTTTTGTACCTTGACCCAAAGACATCATAAACCTCAGCAGATGAGTATAGCTGAAAGAAATGTGGACAACCGCCTCTTCAAACTTGAGTTTCGCAAGAAAAACTGCTCAATGAAAACTGCGTCACTGTATAATTTGACTGTGGGGATAGTGAAAATATTTCACCCGAAACTATTTATAGATACTGGCCAGATGTTTACTGTTCCATCAATACACCGGAGAACTGAATGGAAGGAAGACCTTCAAAGGTTTAAGATTTCAAAGCTTTTCCTTCAATTCATTATTGCTGAAACGAGCTTGAGACAAGGAGGGAGCACAGCAGTTGATGTGTTTTTGTCCTGTTTTGACTAAACTGTCACGGGCGCTGTTTAGATACAGTAATTATATATGTAATCTAATACTTATCGCAGGCACTAATTGCAAATGGTTTGTTTGTTCTGTTAAACGCAGGGAATCACAGATTTAAGTCCTCATGTACCATGGCACACACCACAAACACACACACACTTTTATTCACCCCCTCCCCAGATTCTCCACATTCCTTCAAGCTTATCTTGAAGAATGGTTCGGTGAGCTTGGCAAGGGGTTGCTCTGAAGCCCCCTCCTCTTTCCCTAAAGAACTGAGCGTGTGCACCTTGAACTGTCTCTCCGGCAAGCAGACCCAGCTAGTTTTACATTCCTGGAGTGATTAACATTCCCCTCTCTTTTCGAAGATAAAGGCATCCATGTGAAGCAGGTTCTTTGAATTTTAGAAAAAAGCATAACATAAAATTATCATATGTGAAGATATGTGACACGAAATGACATTCAGTATTATATTGCTGTACATTCCCAGAATTTACTTGAAGAGGGTGATCCATAACAAAAAGAGTTTGTTTTGTAATTTAATCTATGTCAACAAAGACTGAGGTATGTTTTCTCTTGTTTCATGGACAGAAACTTCTTGGAGTGTCCCAGGCGGAGATCAAACAAAAATGCCAGCAGAGAACCAAAGAACTGGAGGAGCTGAAGACAGCAGTGGATTCCCTAAAAGTATGTTTCAGGCTCACTTGTAACAGTTAGTTTTATCGTCACTGCTCATATCGAGGTCACACCATAGAACATTAGACCAAATAAGAACAACCTAACTGCTTTATCTGGGCAAAGGTGATATGGCACAAGGCCTTTTATCTGTTAAGTCAGTGTGTAACTGTTTCAATCTGGGAAAGCAAACAGTCCTTGTAAGTGGCCATAATTGTTCTTTTGTTCCTCATAGGGTAATCTAGATGCTAGCTCTCTAGATACATGCTGATACATGGCTTTTTTGTTGACTGCAGCAGCAGCTTGAGTAATTGTAAGGAGTTGTAAATGTTATCTAGAAGTTATTCTTGCAAAACTGATGCACTAAAACTAAAACACAAAACCGATTCCTACTAAAAGAATGGACAATGGACTCTTAAACTTGACTCATTTTTACCGCAGAGCTCTGCACAAAGAGCAATGACCGAAAGCAAGAAGATGTTTGATGAGATGATCACCTCCATTGAGAGGATGAGGTCAGAGGTCACCAAACTGATCAACATCAATGAGAGGGCTGCATTCAGTCAGGCAGAGGGACTGATGGAGCGACTGGAGCAGGAGATTGAAGAACTGAAGAAGAAAGAGAGTGGACTTAAACAGCTTTATAGCACTGATGATCACATTCACTTCTTACAGGTACTCTAAGGCATGAGTTTTCAAAAATCTGGGGATCCCGATGGGATCAAAGAGAAAAAAAATGAATGTATTTTCTAAAATTCAGATTTTTAGATTTTTTTATTTATTATTTCCTTACAGTAACAGTATAAAACCCAGTTATTTATATTTACGTTATATTATGTTTTTTTTTTCTTCTCCTTGTGCAGTAAAAATGGCACCTTTAATATTTTACATAAACATATAGCTGCTTTTATATTTTAGAAAAGGGGAATCATCATATTTGGCATCAAAAAGGCTTTTCAAACTTTTTGGCATCACTCTTTATTTACATGAAAGGTTGAAAGTCATTAGACAAACACAGTTACCTTTCGCAAATCAAGGCTTCCACCACTACACATATACTGAGATTTCTCTCCTTTTAAACAGAATTTCAATTATCTCTGCACCCCAACTGATGACGGCTTCATACCCAGAGTGTCTCTGAATCCGGACTTTTCCTTCAGTGCAGCCAGGAAGGCCGTGGCTGAGATCAAAGAGAAGCTGGAGGAGCTGGGCAGAGATGAACTGCGCAAAATCTCAAAATCAGGTCAGAGCACACACTGCACAGCATATCAGACACAGGCATAGTTTTTTGGGGGAAGTTGTCCCTGTTTGCTGATCTGAACACACTGCCCTCTATTTTACATGAACTTGGAGGGTACAGCTGAACTCAGTTTGTCTTTAAAGAGCCACAATTAGCACTAACAGTATCAACACATATAATTTCTGGGTCTCAAGTCCCAAAGGAATAACCAACATTTAAATAGATCAGTCTTTAACTCTGATAAGTCAGGCCTTTTGGTAACTAGTACACATGACTTCAGCAAGGAGGCCATGTGATTACATGGAGACTGTAAACAGTGTTTTGAGTTCCTCAACTCTGTTTCCAATCCACTGAGCAAAGTTCAAATGATAAACAAAAGAGCTATTCAATTCTATTAATAGAATTTGAAACAATAAGATTTAGTGCCTTATTCAGATCTGCTTGCATAAATCTAGCATTTCATGTTTAAAAAGGTAATTGTAAATCAAGTTTTCCTACTTTTTAACAACAGTGAACGACGTACCAGTGTACACTGTGGAGAATCGCACCAAGGAGAAAAGTACCAGAGGTAAGACATAAATTAAATACTTACCTATATATTGATTTACATTAATCACACATGACTGGAGCAAATCTATAAACATGTAAAAATGGCTAAGTGAAAAAAAAACATGACATAATACACTACCATTCAAAAGTTTGGGGTTGGTAAGGTGTATTAATGTTTTTGAAAGAAGTTGTCAGCAGCCATTACTTCAGTGCAGTTCTTCAGAGTCACATGATCCTTCAGATATCATTCTAATATGCGGATTTGATGATCAAGAAACATTTCTTACTTTTATAATATTAATAATAACGTTCAACAATGGTTCTGTTTGTGGAAACCATGATACTTGTTTTTAGGATTCTTTGATGAATAGAAAGTTCAAAAGAACAGTGTTTATTTGAGAAAATAAAAAACAAATCTGACTGACCCCAAACTTTTAAATGGTAGTATACATATGGGATATGACATCATATAGTCTGTGTTTCTCTTTGTGTTCAGTTAAAGAAGTTCATACAGTGGACAGTTCACCTCCTACAGAACCCAGGACAAGATCTGAATTTCTGAAATGTAAGTATCTAAAAACAAATCATGATTTATATATTCTCAAATCCAAATGTTTGTGTTTGTCACAATTAGGGATGCACAATTATAACAGTGCCATGTTGGTTATCAGTAGATATTACAAATATACTGGACATTTAATCAGAAATGCTAATTTTCTCTATTTTTATATTTAGATCATCTAACTTTTATCATTTTATATTTAGATCACTTGAAGTTAATCTTTAAAAACACTAATAATTTAATATCATATTTAGCTAATCTTAAAATGAATATCCATTTTTCATAATGCACATTATGAAGTTGTGATGCCTAAATTGATTGTATTTAAAACTTGCTTATAGATTTTAGCGGGGGGGGGGGGGGGGGGGGGGGGTCGGGGGGGGGGGGGGGGGGGTAGTATAGATGAAGTATATAATTAATATTGTCCATTTGTAGCCAGAACATGAAAATAATCATCAGCTTATCTGTATTGGCCAGAATTTGAATATTGTTTCTAGTCCCAATGACTTTTTCTGACATTATTACTAATAAAATCAGAATTTAAATACGTACAGAGGAAGATATATAAAGATCTGTTAGAAGCAACACATTAAAGCAACCTTTATCTGTCTACTCATCTCCAGACTACTGTCAGCTGAGACTAGACCCCCACACGGCGCATAAGGAGCTGTTCTTATCTGAAGGAAACAGAAAGGTGATTAGAACCCGAGACCTGCAGCCATACTCAGAAACCCAAGATCGCTTCGATAGCTTTGCCCAGGTGCTGTGTCGTGAGGCTCTGTCAGGTGGCCGTTTCTACTGGGAAATCGAGTGGAGTGGAGAATTCTCGATTGGAGTGGCCTATCGGGGCATTAGCCGTAAGGGTAAAGGCTCCCTGTGCTTGCTGGGCTACAACGATAAGTCTTGGAGCCTCCTCTGCTCTGACACAGGGTACTCGGCCTGGCATAACAGGGTAGACAAGGCTGTTAGTGGCCCTCACTCTTCGAGAATAGGGGTCTTCCTGGACCACTCTGCAGGGGTGTTGGCCTTCTACAGTATTGGTGAGACTATGACACGTCTCTATCGTTTCGAGACCACATTTACTGAGCCCATTTATCCTGGGTTTGGGGTTGGAACGTCAGTCAAGATCTGTCAATTAAAATGAACACTACATGAGTTGTGTAATTTTCATGAAGAATCTAAAGTGGAGGACAGACATTTTTGCTCTTTATTCTATGATTTTTTTTACTCTGCATGTCTTTTATGTCGAATGCCATTTGTCAGCCGTTTAAACTATTTTAACAGGTTCTGAAGGAATAAGGTAACTTTTCAGTAATGATCCTATCTGCAGAATATATAATGTTCTCCTAAATGAAGGCTTAAATGAAGAAAAACTCTTCTAGATGCTAATATCTTCTTAAGTTAATATTATTATGTGTATTCAAATGCAAAAGCTATTCTCATTGTCATTGTAAACCAACATTATTCAGCAATGACATCTTTATATTTCAATAAAGTTTTAAAGTTGTTATACATACTGGTCTCTCATTAAAATTAAATACTTATGTTAATGAAACAATTGTGGTCCTTTGTTCTCAGTCACAATCTCAGTGGTCACAATGGTCACAATCTCAGTCTTGTGTTTTTGCTGCTGAAACCACAAATTCACCAACTTTGAACAAAAAAATCATAACTATTTAACAATAAATTGTCTACTAAGGACAAAAGATAATCTTAGTTTAACACAAGACACATATTTACAGTTTGAATACACACTACATTACCAAAGCTCATCTGATTTTCACATTATGTGATCAAGTTTTAGGCAATTATTACAATGTGGGGATTTTGAATCATAATGACTGAGGAAAATGCATTGTAGAAAGCTGTACCGGGTGTAGTGCCTGCACACACACACAGTTCTTTTCGGCTGCCATAATACAGTCATTCAAATGTTGTTGTTTTTTTGTAGCCTGGAACATAAAACATAACATGAACATAAATGGTCTGCTCCAAAAACCTGCCTAAAATGATCAGAAGGATACAACTTTTTTCTAACACTCCCATTCACAGATCTAATAAAAGTATAACGTGGTCACATAGATGTTTAACATGTTTTACAATTGCTGGAGGTCAAAGGTTGCTGTTTTGCTGGTCGTAGTGGGCATTATACAGCTGGATGATCTGACTTTACTGGTAAGAAAAATATAATCACAAACAACATGTATTGGCAGTAATAATAAAATGTCATTTATTTTAACAAGATGTTTTTGTGCTGCTAAAATGAACATTCTGTGGGTGAAAATGTTTGTATATAAACTGCAGCAACAATTTCTGACTCAAAGTGTCTTTATTTTATCTTTTAAATATATAGGCCATATTGGGGGAGGTTCACTATTTTTTAAAACTTTAAGGTTCTAACATCCTCTGACAGCTATACCATCTGTTTATGTTAACAGCTTTGTGTTACCCGGTTTAGTTTTTAACCCTTATTTCACTTGGGCGTACGTGTTGTTTTTGTAGAAACCTTTTTTGAAGACAGAAACCTGCTCTGCTGGACAAATTGCTTCATTTGTAAGCAGCAGCATGGCAGATGATATAGATCTGTGCTGTCCTCGTGTGGCTATAAGAGGAAATACAACTTAACAACTATAGCAACTTTAGGCGATAGAAATCACTTTTAGGATCACATTTAGGACATGCAATTCAAGTCTGTAATATGATCACACGTTACACATGTTGGTTTTCAAAAACGAAATCTGGTTCACATAAATCTGAAAAATTCAGAATAATTTTGGTAAATTCCGTTAAACCAATATTAATGAGTATTTTTCATAATGCGGGAGTAGGGGCAAGCTGTCACGTGTGTTTTAAAAGTTGTAATTTCATACAATAAACGGTTATTTATGTGCAAAAGTCCTGTATAATCTTGTATTGTCGATAAAAGCCAGCTAGGGGTTGTCTTAAGAAGTTATTTACTTCCTGAAAACTAATTGGCTAAATCAACTCGCATTTCTTCTGGCCAGACTATATATTTTTTAATTGATGAATTAAGTATGTAATTCGTTTATTTATTTTTATTAAGAATGTATTTCAAATGAATATGAAGGTTAGCGAATCTGCGACGCGTAACTTCTGCATAATCGCCTTGGAAACGAGTTGTTTATGATGAGCTAACGTTAACTCGCCATGCTCTTCATCTAGCTGTCTATATACTGGGAGAAATATCGCATAATCGCACTTATTTGACACGTTGATTAAACGTTTTGTATTTCGTTATTTTTTTCTGCATGTGAACTTATCTTTGTTAGCTAACGCGCTAACGTTAGCTAGGTTAGAAAAATAGGTCTAGTCAAAACTCTCTTCCTTGTCTTTTTATTCTCTCGATACGTCAAGATGGTCAAGGTGAAAGTATTATTCATTGGACCAAACGAGGTAAACCATTTGGTTGTGTGTAGAATGCGATGTATAATATTAAATTATTTAGTGTAGATTACTATTTTTCATATTTCATGTTGACAGTGTGGAAAAACAGCATTGGCCAATTTTCTCTCCGACACAACGGAACAAATTGGAGCTGATCATTACAGTCCAACACAAGGCGTAAGGTGGGTTGATTTGAAATATTTTGTTGCAATAAATATAAATGTTTAAGCTGTCTGGCCAAACGTTTTGTTTTTGTTACATCCTCAAATAATTCCCGTCTATAGGATACTTGAGTTTGAATCACACAGTTTATCTAATGGCAACAAAAATTCAGCGTGTGAAGTGGAACTATGGGATTGTGCGGGAGATTTCAAGTAAGTTGACCAAATGTAGACCACTTTCCTGAACAAGATTGAAGTTGTCATTTGTATTTTCTTTTTTGAGTGAATTCATTCAATATTGTGTGTGCACAGGTTTGAATCATGTTGGCCAGCTTTAATGAAAGACTCCAATGGGGTAGTTATTGTATTTAACCCAGATGTGCCCAGTCATCTAAAGGAAATTGAGACCTGGCACTCGACAATCATCTCCTCACAGGGACTGCTAGAGGCCCAGTGTCTGCTCATAGCACATCATAAACCAGGGTGTGGAGCTGACACTACCCATCCACCATTAGGTAACTTATCCACTTTACAGTATTAGTTTGTCAGAGAAATAAGCTATCTTGAGGCTGATGAAGAACTGGCTATAATTAATGTTACTGCAGATTTTAATATGGTGCTGTTATTTGCCTTTTCATTTAAAATTCTCATTTAATTTCTGAACACCCCTTCAAAAATTGCTGATGTTTAAAATGTTGAGTGCATGTGACATTTACAATTTTTTTATTTATCCTCTGTGTAGCCCCACAGTTAAACAAGCTGCCTCTCATTCACTCAAACCTTGAGGAAGAGCCTGAAGATGTCCGACAGGAGTTCCACAAATACTTGGGAAATGTTATGCGGATGCTATCAGAAAAACAGGAGCGTGAAGAGATGTCAATTATTACATGATTTTATTTTTTGGTGTATGCCAAGATAAATCTATATCCCGCATATATACACATGCATGCATGCTTTTTCTTGTGAAAAAAATCTTGACCCCTGTCTCACCTAACATAGGCTAGGAGATGGAATCTCTCACAATGGTTAACACTAGATCCATCCCACAATAAAATGTTCACTCATTTAAATCAAGAAGAGAGGAAACATTCTAAAGGACAGTGGTTCTATAGTGAAGAGTTATGTAAGGGCTGAGCTTGGATTAGTCTACAAGTCAAAACATCAACAAGTACTAAACTGTGATGGAAACATCCTAGAGTTCAACAAAATTGTAATTCACTGTACCATTATCCTGGGTCCACTGACTAAATTGGAATTAAAAGACCACTGGAATTAAAGCAGCATGAAAGCTTTTCTTTAATAATATTTATTTTAGTTCCTGGATTCCAAGAATTCTGATAGAGAAGGGAACAGACACAACTTAGCAACGAAAACAAGCAAACAGGACAGTCCACATTTATACATCATAGCCAACAATGCCTCTCTTTCCAATAATCTCCCCGATGTAGAACCACATCAGAACTTCTGTGGCAACAAGCCCATTCCTCAGAGCATCCTGTGGTGGCAAAAAAAAAAAAGGAAATAAAAGTGATGAGAAACATTATATAATCAATAATATATTAAATAGAACTATTCATAGTCTGGTTTGCCAAACAATTATAATGAACAGCTAAATATTACTCTGTGACAATGAAATGTATCTACAGTTTGATAAATCAACAGGCACAGTCTGACACAATAGCTAAATCAAGCTGCCATTTATTCGAAAATATTAAAGTCCAATATAGTTGAAAGCGCAGATAGGAATTGAAATAGAGGGCTCATGCCATTAACATCATTGTTTATATATTCGGGCAAACGGGGTTGGAATGAGCACAGGATCAATTTAAAGCTACAGGCAAAACAAGTGGAAAAAAAATGTCGATTTTGAGGTTTTCATAAAAAAAAAAAAATTCATTAAGCCCTTGTCTAGCGATCCCAATGCTCCAAATAGCACTTAAACATCTAAAAGTATCTTTATTTGTACATTTCTCAGAGTACCACCTTTTTTTGTACATGAAAAACGGTCTTACTCACACTGACTGACAGATCCAATGTGTGCGCACAAAGACACCTCAGACAGAGCACAATCCTGATATACACGCATACACAATTACAGTATCTGTCTAGGCGAGTATTTACGCAAACGTCTGTTATGTCTTATGTGAACGTTTTGTAAACTGTTGGAGGAAAAACATCTGTGTAACATTATTTTAGATCGGTGCAGTACAGTAGGTCTTAATATATATAGGCTGTCTGTTTCATTAATGTCAATCAAACAATTGTGGTATCATGGAAAAAATAAGTTATATATACATATATATATATATAACATTTGGTTTTGACTTGGTGTGTGCCAAATTTGCTGTTACCAGGGATTTTAAGGGATGGTTGCTACTAGCTGATTTTGTTTTGGAACCTTCAGAAAACTAAGTTGATTTTTCTCAAAATTGACTTTGCTGACTATATCGACTTCAGGTGAACAGTTGTAGTCAAGTCATTTTTTGTCTGATTCCAACAAATCATACATAATTTTGAGGGTTTTTTAATTTTTAATAGACAATGTGAAAATAACTTATTTTTGAAAATGTGCGACTCATTTTGCCAGCTCGGGTCACACACATACATATGCGTGTGTGTGTGAGTATACAGTATATATAGATAGATACACAAGGAGCAGATTTAGAGCAACTTTTCTTAAAACACATGCATGCTGCAATGTAATTCCAAAGCCTTTCCTAATGGTGTCTATGTAATGTGCACAATTTTTAATAAATAGATAAATAAATATTTAAAATATAAAATCACATGACAGCAGTCCCTCAGCCTGAGGAGATGCGTTTTGAAAAATACAAGTAAAAATACATAAGTAATTAAAACAGCAAATTACAAAATAATGTGTTTGTTTTTTTCCCCAAAACGCATCTGCTCAGGCTGAGGGACAGCTGTCATGCAAATATTTTAAATTTGTATTTAAAACGGAAATGTTCAACTTGAAATGCAACCCAGAATTCAAAGTACCTATACTAACCCTGACTGTAGTCTGACCGAGCCGTCCTGACTGGAAGCCCTTGAGGAGATCCTGGAAGCCGCTGATGGCCTTGGGGATCTCGGCAGGGCTGGGAGGAACCAGCTCCACACGGGCGTAATACCAGAATGTGGCTAGCCGGGGCTTGGAGTAGCTCACAGCAGCTGCAAAATATCAATATCAACGCCATTTTTAAAAGAAATGTCACAAAGCAAATGCCAAGTGAACAACAAACATATTTGAGTTGAATGTATCGACACACACGTTGACATTGGGCGACTGTTCTGTCAACTTCAGCATAGCAGCTAACGCTGTTGTAGAAGTACGAGCTAGGCATTCAAGAATGCTTTAGACAGCTTTAGACAAGACAGAACACAAACATTTACTAACACAATTATCGGTCATCTGTTTGCACAAAACATTAGCGTATGCGTTATGTTTAATTGATCTAATTCGTGATTTGTTCATTTACGCGGCCTGTTCTAACAGCTGCGGAAACCAGAAGCACTTAACTAGAAACAAACATTACAAAGAAATACATCTTCTACAGCTTAAGTAAAAGGTAATTATTCTTACCGCCGACCAACGTTGGCACTTTAGCCACGAGTTTCTGTACCGCCTGGGCCATGATTTCTGTGAACTGTGAAGATTTATTCGCCGCTTCTCTCCACAAACCGGGGCCCTTCAATGAATGTCACCTCCAGCGAAGGACCCTTCAATCGAGGATGCAAGCTTATACGCCTGACGGAAATTTAGAGCATGCCTATACATAAATATACCTATATCTATATAGCGTACATGTTGAATAAAAAAATACTGTTTATAAAAATAAAAAATGGTTAAACCTGACTAAACATGTAATACCATGCACGGATTAAAATATTTTTACATAAATAAGAGCGGCATAAAACGGCCGACTAAGTGCGACTGTAAATGCACTACATAAACATATACATAAACGGGTATATTATCTTGATATCTTCCATGTATCAGTGTTGTAAAAGCAAATAGTGTAATATTATTTATTTATTATTAATTAATGTTGAATTTATCAGTAGCCAAGGTCAGTACAACAAAAACACAATTTATTTCCTGAATCATTCATAGAGACATTTATTTACATTTTTAGTTTTTCATTTGTTGATCTTAATTTATTTAACATTTTGATTTGGGGAAAAAGAAAAAGACATTTGACCCCATTTAAATGATAATTTATTCAGGATGAAAATGACACAATGCAAAAATGGCAGATTCATAAGTCACAACCTGGCAAAACATAGTGAGCACATGTTAAAATACTGATATAATAGATAATACTTCTCAGAAACACAGAAATTAACAATGTTAGCGTCTTCCTGCAATGCATTCTGGATTTTTACTTCCAGATCAATCTTAACCTTTACAGCACTCTGAATGATTATGCAGAATTGGGATCATGCATGCACACATTTTGAATAGGTAAAGTGCAAATATAGTTCAGAGAAATGAGCTAACCAGTGAAACTCTATTTAAAGATCATTCTCAAAGTACTAATCTCATTGACATTATCAGGACTGTTTTATGGCCATCCCAGCTATACTATGAACTAAGTCCGGTCATCATCAGACAAGTCATCAGTCTTCAGTGTTGGTTTAGCAGCACTCGAAACACTTTCCTCCACCTGTAACAAATGGTACATGAACAAATATAAATAAAGTTAATGAAGTTGATGTGTTTGCTTATTGTGTGCGTGTGTGTGTGTGTGTGGTACAATCATGCAATTGATCAATATATGTATTGAGTTACAGTTATTTCATGTATAATGAGTTTTGTATTAGCCAATCAGATGTGGCTACGTCATTAGGCAGGGATTAGTTTACTGCTTGTGCTTGTTTACATTTAGCGTGAGTGATTTTGTTTGTTGTGTGCTTCTCTTCACGCCTCCACCGACACTGATAAACCAAACACGAGAAAGCACAACAATACATTATTGCATACCTCAGAGATTGTTGCTAGTTTGTTCACAGTGATTGGCTTCCCATTCTTCTTCAGCCAGTCATAACCTTTTTGATCTACTACAAGTAAAGAAAGAGTGTCTCCTCCTCTCTTCACATGTAAGATCACATCCTCCACAGACTCTTTCTCCACATTCTGTCCATTCACCTCCACCACCATATCACCCTGAAGCAGACCTGAACCCTCTTCTGGGCCTCCCGCTGCTACCTAAAAAATGTTGGTAATTTTAAGTAATACACTGTCAAATTTACTTGAAATTATATATTTTACTTGTAGTAATTGTCAGAGCATCTAACTGAGTTGTATCACTGATCTTTTATAAAATGTTTATGTAATTCTATCATTTCTAACAAATGAAGACTCCCATGATATGTAGACTAGGGCTGGTTTTCCAAGAGTATAGCCTACTTTTGTGAAGAGTTCCCACAGATCCAGAACAAAGGTTCATTTCTATCCAGTCCTAACATCTGAAGTCAGTATCGTATAAAGGCTGATTTGTCAGTGAATGGGCTTCATTGTACCTGGCTGATGAAAGTTCCAGGTTTCTGTTGGACGCAACCCAAATGGAAGCCAAAACCAGCCGAGCCCCTCTGCACTATACAGCGTCTAACATTAGGATCAATCTGCACATCCACCTCAGGCTCAACAGGGGGCACTTCAGGATTCAGCGTCATTGGGGTTTCCTTTTTCTCCGGGCTACCAGATGTAAAATCCACACAGAACAGTAAGGGGGAGAGGCCCAGCTAAGAAAGAGAGATACATGACGTTTAACAGACAAGTAACTTTAGACAAACGGGCATAAGTAAAAAGAATCACCCCCATATTAGTATACTTTGTATATTCACCTTAGTGTAGAAGTCATGGCCCTGAGGTGGCATAGTTGTGAGGGTGACCTGCTGCCCACTCTGTCTGATTTTGCTGACAACTTCATCATGACTCAGTGAGTCTGTGGATTCTCCATTCACTTCAAGAAGCATCTCACCTTCTTTAACACCTCCCAGTTCAGCAGGGCTGCCATTATCCACCTCTCTCACCATGTGGACTGTATAAACCAAACATAAATATGTAGACAGCAATCCATTTATGTAGCTGTACAAATAGATTGCAGATAAATTAGTACATGTCAAAGTGTGTGTTTGCCTCTCACCAGTGCGTCCTGCTCCAGTCTTCTCCAGCCTGAGCAAGAAGCCATACCCTTCCGGCCCCAACACCAAATGCAGTCTGTGGGGCCGATACGGCATGTTCTCTGCGTCAGCCAGGGCTGGGAGAATGGGCATTTTCCTACCGGCATAACTCTTCTCACTGTCACTGTCAATCACCAGCACTGTCATGTGATCACTGCACTTCTTCACCTGGAAATATCATCACCATAACCATCAGGTGAGTGACAAAAGGTCTACATGCTGCCCATGAGTTTGACACATAGCTCAGAAGAGCTTTGTACACTGTAAAAATGTTTGCAAGAAAAAAATATTGTAACTGTCAGTTGCCATATAGTGACATTTTTTAAAATGGTTTAACATGGCATTATATGTAATTTTACTGTAAAATAATGTAACATTTTGTAAGTAGGAACTATGAATTGCCATATAATTTACTGTGAAAAATAGTCACATGATAATAATAGTTTGTTGTTTCTTATTTTTGTAATCAGTAATATATATTATGGGGTTGTGTGTTACATTTTCTGTTATTTAGTTAATGTTTGTTGCATTATTTTAGTGTCTTTGTTTGTTTGACCCTGTACACTGTACAGTATATGCAAGAATTGGTCGTGTTTTATGGAAAGGCCGCTTTCGATGAATTCTAATTCATCATGTGGCTTTCTGTTTTACCATCCGTTTTCTTATTGTGGCTATTAGTACATTTTAAGGTAAAAAGCAAATTTTGATATCGTCACACATGAGTGTATTGAATGGAGAATACTCAGGAGTATAAACAAAAAAGTCTTTCATAATAATTTAAAAAAAAAAAAAACATGCAGGAGAATATCAGGAATAGAGAATACAACACAAAATAGACGATAACGGACAAACAAAGGGAAACATAGGGCTTATATTCACAGAGAATGTAATCAATAGAGAAACAGAACAGGTGCGTGGAATTACGGATTAACCAATTAACCAACAAGGGATCTAATGAGAATGTAAACAGAGCAAACAGAGTGAAAATAAAATTTAAACATAACATACATGTTACAGTGCGCTCCTCACACCGTAACAGTCTAACTCTGGAGGGAGGGTGGGGGCTCTGAAGGAGGACGTGGAGCAGGCGAAAGGCAGGAACCGAGAGGAGCAGGCGAAAGGCAGGAACCGAGAGGCACTAGCGGGGGGAGAGACCAGGGTGGTGATGACGGTGGGAGAAACCAGGGAGAAGCCAGGAGCAGGAGGAGCCAGGCAGGGACACAGAGCACAGCCAGGATGAAAACCCATGACGGAGTCGATGGAGGGAGAAGCCATGGTTGAGTTTTTGGGTGTTGATACCAGGGGATGACCAACGGAGACAATGCTGATGAATGTGGACCCCTGGGTGCTTATGAGAGCAGATGGAACCGGGCGATACCGATGGTCCTGGAGGCCGAGACAGAGCGACAGCGAGGCGTGTCTGAGGTGGAGCCAGGAGGACCCAGTAGGGAAGGAGAAGCCAAGGAAGAGCTGACAGGTCGACGGACCGAGGTGGAGTGACGGGATCAGCTGCTGGAGGCAGAGCCGGGGGATCCAATTGCCTGGGCAACGCTGGAGAACTGAAGAATTGAATCCACACAGTGGAGTGGTTTCAGAGGAGGAACCGAGGGGCTGAAGTGAACCAGCGGAGGCGGAGCTGAGGAACTAGCTGCTTTTGGAAGAGGAGGTAGGGGAGGGAGGCTGGGCAGGAACTCTGGCAACACAGGAGACTTTGAGCTGGGTGGAACCACCAGGGACATAAGAGACTTTGAGCTGGGCAGGAGTAGCAGGGCTGGGAGAACCAGGTAAACTTCTACTTCCATTTCAAAATAATTCCTAGAGGACAGGCACAACACTTCCACGTTGGCTGTGGGTGGGGCTTTCCTCCATGCCCTCGAACTCCACAAGCAACCCCACAGGGACGGACGATGTAGCCGGTTCACGCACCTGGTCAGACGTTTTGCAAAGCTTGGGCTCTGGGGCAATGTGTTGGCTCTGTCCTCCTTTCAGGCTGTGGCTTGTGCAGCGTTGCAGGCTCAAGCCCACAGCCTCTTCAACAGGGCAGATGGTGTACAGGGACCCCCAGTTCACCAGTACCAACTCCACGAATTTAGTGAATGTTCCTTGAGGACCAAAACCCGGGATGCAAAGCTTTGCGAACTTTGTTCAAACTAGAGAAAAAAAGCGAGGAGTGATCGGGAAGTGGGTTTGAATCGACAGATGGAGAAATCTATGGGTGGGGTCCTCGAGGCCTTCTGTTCCAGGCATAGCAGCTGAACTGCCGGTAATATACAGAGAACGTAAAAAGAAAGAAAAGAGAAACAGAACAGGAGCGTGGAATTAGGAACTATGGAAACTAATTAACCGAGAATGGGAACAGAGCAAACAGAGTGAAACTGAAACTAAAACATTACCTACACATTACAAATATATAATTTTTAATTTATATAATGGTATTTTTAACATTACATCACTTGATGATTTATGGTTATAAGTTTTAAAACATATAGGCACCAATATGCCATCCTGTAATATCTTGATTGCCCGGTCAAAAAAAAGGTCGCTGTTTGGATTTAAATTGACAAATGCGTAAGAGTATATGATTGGATTATTATTGAAGTGATTATTGTTTCTAGCATGTTATATGCTAGTATGTAACTTTTCATTTCTTAAACAACCATGTAGGAAGACGTTTCATGGCCATATTCCAGGCATCAGGCTCAAATTGTGAAATAATGGTTGGGAGGGAGCATGAATAATAATTTTCACACATGAATTGGCACCTCTGAGCCCTGACCATAAATTCATTGAACGTCTTTGGGATGTGCTGGAGTGGACTTTACAGAGTGCTTGACTCTTGCATTGTCAATACAAGATCTTAACCAAAAATGTCTTAACCAAAAATTGGTCTCTCCAAATCAGCTGTTCTCTGGTTTAATTCATATCTTCATTACAGACGTCAAAGTGTGTCTTTTAATGCTGCTCTCTCCCAGCCTAGAGTAATGGAAACGGGTGTCCCTCAGGGTTCTTCCCTAGGGCCCCTTTTATTTTCTATTTTTATAGAAAATATCTTTTATTTCTCCCACAAATATGCTCAGACTGTCAGATTCATCTATATGCAGATGACACAGTTATATAAACATCTAAAAACGATATATCTAAGATTCAAACCTCACTTCATTTTGATTTCAATCGTATTCAAACATGGTTCTCTTCTAATCTGCTTTTATTGAAAAAAAAAAAGAAGTCTTATAGCATGCTTTTTGCAACCAGATCTGCACTCCATAAGCAAAATAATTATCTTGAGGTTAAATTCCTGGAAGGTACACCTTTAATGAAGGTTGATGAGTTTAAATGTCTGGGCCTTTGGCTCGACTCCCGACTTACTTTCAGACCTCATATCAATTATATTGTAAAAAACATAAACTGTAGTTTAAGAATGTTATACCGCTCAATTAATAGTTTTACAAAACAGATTAGATTAAAAATTATTACTCAACTATTATTGCCTATAATTGATTATGCGGATGTTGTTTATCAGAACACAACCGTAACCAATCTTAAACCTTTGAATGTGATCTATAATAGTCTCTGCAGATTTGTTTTGAGGTGCCCATTTAGAACTCATCACTGTCAAATGTATCAGTCATTGAATCTTCTTTCACTAAATGCTAGACGACAGTATCATTGGTTGCAGTTTGTTCACAAATGCATTTTCTCAAACTACCCATCCAATCTGAAACAATACTTGATTCCATATCAAACATCCTACAGCCTAAGAGACACTGACCATCTTTTCTTTTCCGTACCAAATATATCCACAGAAAGAGGAGAGCCTTTAAATTTAAAGCCCCTTCTGATTGGAATGGTTTATAGGTCTTTTAGATCGATCTCCTCTTTTCACCAGTTTAAGATGTCTCTTCTTAATTATTTGCATACAAGCTGCAACTGTTTTCTTCATGCTTGATATGTATGTATATATATATATATATATATATATATATATATATGTTTTTTATTTTTTTTAATTCTCAATTGTTTATATGAATGACCTTAACTGTTTACTGCCTAATATCTAATGGTTGGATTGGGGAAGATATGGGTGGTTTTGGTGTGATGGAGAGCTTTTGTCTTTGTTTTGTTAGTATGTATGTATGTTTGTGAAGTATGTTTTTCTTGAGATCCCCTTGAAAACGAGATGTCACATCTCAAGGGGTTTTCCTCTCAACAATAAATTTAACAAATTTAACAAATGTATGCACCCCTTGATGGAAATAAATGTTGTGATGTTAACCACACAATCTGGTAACCACTGCTGCTGGTTTTTTAACCATAAATTTAACAGTATATTTTTTACAGTGTATCTAAAGCAAGTCCTTGCTTACGATTCTGCTGATGGCAGAGTGTGTGAGTTCACAGGCCATGGCACCATCCATCCAGATTAGCCGGTCACCTTTCCTCACTCCTGCCCTCTCTGCGGCACCTCCTTTCACTGGGCTTACAGCGAATTTGCCTTTCTCACCTACACCACAGATAAACCAGAAAGCGCACACTTGACCTTTAACCTCACTTCTTTTAAAAAAAGACGTTACAAAAAGCATTACAGAATTATTTTTTAATGTGAGATACTGTGGTTCTTACCTTCCAAAGGCAGTATGTTGAGGCCCAGGCCAGGAGCATCTTTCTTGATGTGGCAGAGACGAGGAGGCCTCCATCCTTCTCCACGGCTGGCTTTAGCCAACTCTCTAAGGTCACGGCCCTCAGAAACAGCCTGGTCGTAGGCCTTTTCATCTAAAACCAGGAAGCAGAACTGTGATCCACTCACCTGAATCATACGGGCCACCTAAGAAAATGGGACAAATATAATAAAGTAATAATCTGTTACAAAGCCTGACACAAAAAACATATGTTCATAGCTTGTACAGTAAAAAAAAACATACAATAATTGCAAAACAAAGATCATGACTTCTCACCTCCATGTGTTCCACGTTGTCAACAAACTTCTCATTGACTTCAAGCAGGTGGTCCCCATCCTTGAGCCCACTCCGCTCTGCCACACCCAATGAATTCAGCTGCCTGATTATATGACCCTGCCGCCCTCTTTCCACACGCAGGCGGAAGCCAAAGGTTTCTCCTTCTTCCCTCCTCAGCACGCACACACGTGGTGTGGGATTTGACACATGCTCTGTCAGCAAAGACTGGAGTTAAATGAACAATCTGTACACTTTAAGGTATACTATAAACTATGGTAACACATTTTAGCAGCGTTATTCTGTGCTGTATTTGTTTATAATTATGGTATAGAGCAGGGAACATCCCAAACTTTTTTGCTAGCCAAACCTCTTTGATCTAAAATATTTATTTGAAGACCACAATGAGATTTTAAGTCAATATTTCAATAATTTAACAACACAGTTGAATGTTTGTAGTTCTCTGATGTTGGTTAATGGTCACATGACAAACAGGTAAACAAATTAAATACTTCATATTTTTAGTAGATGTTTTATATTCATTTAAAAAAAATGTATTTGTATGATTTAATTAATTATTAGCTTTTCATTTAGTTTGGGGAACCCTGGTATAGCACAGACATCTGAAACCTGCCGTGGTCTCAGTAAAAAACAATTAACAAAAATAAATAAATAACACAATTAAATAATTTTAATTCTAAATCTCAAAGTATCCAGTCTATCCACACACAAAAAGGCACTAATAATACCTAATACAAGAACTCATTAACCTGTATCGTCTGCAGTCACCATGGCTGGATTGTCTATTCCCTCCTTGGGATTGAAGGTAAACTTCCTTAAAGAACATAAGAACAGGTTAAGGAATGAGTTTCTGCCCTCTGATAAGTTCTACACAAGCAGCCAATGAGATCTAGTGCACTACCATAAACAAGTCAATATACCCTCTGCAGAGGTACTTCCCTGACAGTATTTTAGTACACTCAGAGATCTGATGAAGCCATAAAGTGAGGCGTGCCCGTCCATGTGTACGCTTATCAAACCAGAAGGCACAAAGTCAAAAGCTGTACAGCATGTGTGAATGTGTGTCTGTGAAGGGACACGAGCCATAAAAACATTACTTACTCTGTCAGCTCCATGACATCCCGCAGTACTGCAACAAAAGTAATGAGGGAGATTGAAGAACTTGAAATGATGAAAAGTCAAACACACCTCAAATTCCTGGACAAAAAACACATATTCCTAGTGTTGAGTCAAAAGCTTTACAAATTACAATTTAACCTCTGGATTTCAGATCTTGACTCAGAAAATGTGATTACAGCTCATCTGCTCTGACTTCCCTTTATACTTGGTCATCCATAGTGAGAACATGTGATATTTGTTAGCTAAAAATAATCAAAATAGTGTTTGCCTTCGGTTGATAGGCTTTGATTAAACACCTAGTTAAATATGCTTTGGAAGGGATGTTTACCTTGTTGGCAATAGTTGACTATATGGTTGACTGGCTATCTATTGCCAGCCAACCAAATATTTTATATTGTGACAATCACAGCTTTATATTAAGTACAGCACATGTCAAGAATGGCAAGGTAAATCATGTCACCGCATTCTGCACATTACTTGGTTTATAGCTTAAGCTGACTCATATTTCAAAAGTCACAGGTTAAAATACTGGAAATGTAATAAGAAAATAATGGAGATTCGTTGTATTTTGTCTCATATGTAAAATAACAGATCTAATAACCTTTTTTTTCATGTGGCATTTTGTCCTCAACAATGTTAAATAAACAGACCCCAGTGGCCTTGAGATCACACAAACACCAAAGTGACCATGGAGTGACCACGATTTACTTTTAAGCTAATCATTAAAACAGTTTACTTTTCCCATAAAATAAAAATAAAAATAAAAAATAAAATAAAATAAAATAAAATAAAATAAAATAAAAACCATGTGTGTAACACCCGTGACTTAAGCAAATTCTGTAAATTCCACCCATACTATGAAGCCTTTTTCCCACGCTTACACATTTTTACAGTTAATGATTTAACATTAGCCGTTATTCACATGGATGAATAATCAGAGTTAAAAACATAGTACAATCTTTCAAAACAGAAAAAAGAATTGTGAAGAGAGCCAGAGGTACCTACCTGAGCTCTCTCTTTATCTCATAGCGGCGCCAGTGGAATATGCGTGTCAGGAACACATTGAGCTGAAGTGGATACACTTCTCTCATATGTGTTCGTCATCATGCTCCTCTTTTAATGATTTAAGTGTGCTCATAAAGAGGGGCCTATTGTTCCAGACCCTGGGTGTAAACACAGTCATTCTCTCTGTAAATCTCACCATCAGCACTCAACATACACCCTTATTCAACTTCACTGCATGACCTGTTGCAAAGACTATCATTGACTAATGCAATTGCTTATGCTTTTAAGAGGCTGTGAGGATAATAGTTTCAAAACAAATGCATGTAAGGCAAGAACAGCAAATTGTGAATACATTTTTGTAATATAAGAGCCGAGGTAATATAAAAGATGCAAGGGGCATATGAGGAGAAGCGAGATGGAAGGAGTCTCCTCTCTTAAGGACACAGTGCTAACCCGCTAAGATTTTATTTTTCTGAAAGAGTCTAAGATAGTTAGAGGAATAATGAAGCCAATCTGAGATGGACATTCTGAGACCAACCTAATACAATTTAGATGTCATGACTTAACGGATGACAGGAAGCAATAGCAGGTAAGAAACTTTATTAAATGGAAGTCCAGACAGAAAGACACGGGCGTGGATGGCGACACAGGGACGTTGATGGTCAGCGTGGTGAATCCCAAGTGGTGCAGTGAAGACAGACGAGGAACGACCCACAACCGGTGAAATCCACAACCGACGATAATCCACGAACAAGACGAAATCCACAGGAACACACGACGAGATACTCAGGAACAAGACTGGAACACGGACACATCCAACAACGATCTGACAATGGAGATGAGAACACTGTGAGCATAAATAGTGAGATGAGATCGGCTGCAGCTGGTGATGAGATGATGATCAGCTGGAGCGGATCAAGGAATGACACACACTCACTCACGCCCACCACACACGTGCTTTCATGCAACAACAATAACACGAGACGAGAAGGAAGCAAATGGATTTGTATACCGTGACAGTACCCCTTCTCCTAAGAACGCCTCCCGACGTTCTCAGAACTCCTTACCTGTCGATTGTAATCATCGATCAGAGAGTGATCCAGAATGTCTCTAGCAGGAACCCAACTTCTCTCCTCCGGACCGTAACCTTCCCAGTCCACCAAGTACTGAAATCCGCGTCCCCTCCGCCTCGAATCCAGAATACGATTAACCGAATAGGTGGTATCCCCATTTACGAGACGCGGCGGGGGGGGAACCGGGACTGGCGGATTAATGTGTGAACGAAACACAGGCTTAATTTTGGAAACGTGAAAAACGGGGTGTACCCTCCTGTACGCTGGAGGTAAACTAAGGCGGACTGCCACCGGACTAATGATCTTGGTGACAGAGAACGGGCCAATAAATTTGGGAGCAAGCTTATTAGAGACGGAACGGAGAGGAATGTTCTTAGTAGAAAGCCACACTTTTTGACCGACGACGTATATGGGAGGCTTAGACCGGTGGCGATCGGCCCTCGCCTTGGTGCGCGCCCCCACTTGGAGTAAAGTCTCACGGGCTCTAGTCCAAGTGCGGTGACACCTCTGGATTAAGGCGTGTGCGGAGGGAACCGCGACTTCGGATTCCAGACTGGGAAAAATAGGTGGCTGGTAACCTAAACTACATTCAAACGGAGATAGGCCCGTGGCCGACACTGGTAACGTGTTGTGGGCGTACTCAACCATGGAAAGTTGCTGGCTCCATGAGGAAGGATTCTTGGAGACTAAACATCGCAACACCCTTTCCAGATCTTGGTTGGCTCTCTCGGTTTGACCATTGCTCTGGGGATGAAACCCTGAGGATAAACTAACCGTCGCCCCCAGTAATTTACAAAATTCTTGCCAAAATTTGGACACAAATTGGGGTCCCCTGTCAGAGACCACGTCCATCGGGAGGCCATGTAACCGAAAGACGTGGTCAATGACTGTCAACGCTGTCTCCTTAGCTGAGGGTAATTTGGGTAAGGGAATGAAATGAGCTGCCTTCGAGAACCGGTCCACCACGGTCAAAACGACTGTGTTACCCTGGGAGGGCGGGAGGGCGGTAATAAAATCGAGAGCGATATGGGACCAGGGTCTCGAAGGAACTGGCAGCGGTTGAAGGAGCCCATCTGGGGGTCGATTGGAAGTTTTACCAGTGGCACAAACCGAGCAAGCCAAAACAAAACTGTGGATGTCACGAGCCATGAGTGGCCACCAGAATCGTTGCTTGACTAGAAACTTAGTACGAAAAACTCCTGGATGACAAGCCACGTTGGAGCAATGACCCCACTGAATGACGTCAGACCTTAATCCCTCCGGCACGAATAAGCGATTCGGTGGGCAACCGGGCGGAGGCGTTACCCCTTCTAAGGCCGTCTTGACCTTCGATTCGACCTCCCATACGAGTGTGGAGACAAATAGACTCTCCGGTAAAATGCACTCGGGAGTAGACGGGCGTTCGGAAGGATCAAAAATACGAGATAAAGAGTCGGGTTTGATGTTTTTAGACCCCGGGCGGTACGAGAGAGAAAAATCAAAACGTCCGAAAAAAAGTGCCCACCGAGCTTGCCTGGAGTTCAATCTTTTGGCAGTTCTGATGTATTCTAAATTCTTGTGATCAGTCCAGACTAAAAAGGGTACCCCCGAGCCCTCTAACCAATGACGCCATTCCTCCAACGCTAACTTGACTGCCAACAACTCCCTGTTACCAATGTCGTAATTGCGTTCAGCTGACGATAACCGATGGGAAAAAAACGCGCAAGGATGCATCCTGTCGTCTGTGGGGGAACGCTGGGACAGGACTGCTCCTACCCCCACCTCTGACGCATCGACCTCCACCACGAACTGCCGTGAATAGTCAGGGGCAATGAGGATGGGAGCTGAAACAAAGCGGCTCTTGAGTTTGGCAAATACAGCCTCGGCTGTATCTGACCACCTGAACGGAGTGCTGGGGGAGGTCAAGGCAGTCAGAGGCGCGGCTAGCTGGCTGAAATTACGAATGAAACGTCGATAGAAATTGGCGAACCCCAGAAACCTCTGTAGGGCCTTACGGGAATCTGGACTTGGCCATTCTACCACAGCCTTAACCTTCTCAGGATCCACACGCATTCCCTCAGACGAGATGATGTATCCTAAGAAAGGAACAGACTGTGCATGAAAATCGCATTTCTCCGCCTTGACAAAAAGCCCATTCTCTAACAACCTCTGAAGCACTCGTCGGACGTGTTGCATATGTTCCTGGAGAGACGAGGAAAATATCAATATGTCATCCAGGTAAACATATATGAACTGATCTATCATGTCTCGTAACACGTCATTGACCAGTGCCTGGAAGACTGCTGGAGCGTTGGACAGCCCAAACGGCATGACCAAATATTCAAAGTGCCCCCTGGGGGTGTTAAAAGCAGTCTTCCATTCATCCCCCTCCCTGATGCGAACCAAATGATAAGCGTTACGCAAGTCCAATTTCGTGAAGACGGACGCTCCCTGCAACCTCTCGAAAGCTGAAGACATCAACGGCAAAGGATAAGTATTCTTTACCGTGATGTTATTCAACCCCCGGTAATCAATACAAGGTCGCAGAGACCCGTCCTTCTTCCCCACAAAAAAGAACCCCGCCCCCGCTGGAGAAGAGGAAGGGCGGATGAACCTGGTTGCCAGAGAATCAGAAATATATTTCTCCATAGCCTCCCTTTCAGGAACAGAAAGTGAGTATAGCTTGCCTTTAGGCGGAGACTTACCTGGCATTAAATCTATGGCACAGTCATAGGGACGATGAGGAGGAAGAGAAGCAGCACGAGACTTACTGAACACTTCCTTCAGATCGTGGTACTCCTCGGGCACGTTAGACAAATCCCCAACCTCCTCCTGAAACACACAAACAGGCACAGACGGACAGGCAGACACGAGACAAGACTTATGACATTCCTTGCTCCACTCCAGTATAGCTTTATGTTGCCAGTCCACTCGGGGGTTGTGATGGATGAGCCAGGGATGTCCAAGAACAATGGGTGCCAGGGGTGAATCCAGAATGTAAAAACTAATAGTCTCGGAGTGGTTGCCTGAAGTGATGAGGGTAATGTTTTCCGTGATAAATGAAATGGTGGGGAGTTCTTGGCCGTTGAGTGCGTGAACATCAATCCTTTGTGTGAGTGGTTTGAGGGGAATCTGAAATTTGTGTGCAAAAGTGCTGTCCATAAAATTACCTTCAGCCCCGGAATCCAAAAGTGCTCGACAATCGTGCTGGTGAGCTGACCATCTCAGTCTTACAGGAAGGAGAGTAGATGTGGATGAGGTCTTCTTGGCGGAGATCCCACCCGATAGTAGCCTCATGCTTACTATCGGGCTTGGCCTTTTACCGGGCAGTTGTAAGCGAAGTGTCCCGTGCCTCCACAGTATAGGCAAAGGCCCAGGGATCTCCGCCTTTCCTTCTCCTCCCTGGAAAGCCGAGCACGACCCACCTGCATGGGTTCGTGATCGACGACTGGGCTGACCGTGTCCCTGCCGCTGGACCGTTGCTCCTCGACTCCTCCTGAAGAACGGTTGAACAAAGCTCTGCTCCCGACCCTAGCCAGCCGAGCATCCACCCGCAGAGCCAGTTCGATGAGGCCGTTGAGGGTTGTTGGTAGGTCCAGGGCGTAGATCTCCCTCTGGACACGGTCAGCCAACCCATGCAGGAACATGTCCCACTGCGCCTCCTCGTTCCACTGACATTCGGCCGCCAGGGTTCGGAACTCGATCGAAAAATCCGAGACCGACCTCTCACCTTGACGGAGGTCGGCCAGCACCCTAGCGGCCTCTCTCCCCGCGAAAGCACGATCGAATACCCGTCTCATCTCCGCGGAGAGTGCCGGGAACGAGGCACAGCAGGGATCTTGATTCTCCCACACCGCCGTCCCCCACAGCGCTGCTTTGCCGGTTAGAAGAGTCAACACAAACGCCACTTTCGCCTGCTCGTTTTGAAATGTTCTGGGCTGTAGAGCAAAATGCATGGCACATCTGGTCAAAAATGCTCTACAGAATGCAGACTCACCCGCGTAGCTCTCTGGAATGGGTAGGCGTGGTTCACCGTGCGCTGGGACCTCAGGTGGAATGGGGGGAACGGCTGGTGTGGGCGGCGCAGTGGGAGCTCGAAGAAGTAGAATCTGCTGGGTCAGCTCGGACACCTGTGTCACCAAAGTTTGAACCGCACGACCCGTGTCATTCAGATTCTTCTCCTGCGAATCCATTCTTCTCATACTGTGTTGCACAAAATCCTCCAGACTAAATGTCGACGTACCCGCTGCTTCCATGGTTGCGTCAGATCGTTCTGTCATGACTTAACGGATGACAGGAAGCAATAGCAGGTAAGAAACTTTATTAAATGGAAGTCCAGACAGAAAGACACGGGCGTGGATGGCGACACAGGGACGTTGATGGTCAGCGTGGTGAATCCCAAGTGGTGCAGTGAAGACAGACGAGGAACGACCCACAACCGGTGAAATCCACAACCGACGATAATCCACGAACAAGACGAAATCCACAGGAACACACGACGAGATACTCAGGAACAAGACTGGAACACGGACACATCCAACAACGATCTGACAATGGAGATGAGAACACTGTGAGCATAAATAGTGAGATGAGATCGGCTGCAGCTGGTGATGAGATGATGATCAGCTGGAGCGGATCAAGGAATGACACACACTCACTCACGCCCACCACACACGTGCTTTCATGCAACAACAATAACACGAGACGAGAAGGAAGCAAATGGATTTGTATACCGTGACATTAGATGTCCTGGTGGTAATATCAATAAGGCATTGACAAGTGTTTTACGGTGCATTTTTCTAGACACCTTTTACCTTATTTTGATTATTATCATGTTAGGTAAAGTAAGTCAAATCTGTCCTAAAATAAGCATCTGGATTTTCATACTTACAATCCATGGTCAGAAGACTTCTTCGTCTGTTCTGGCAGGCGAGTTTCTTAGTTTCAATTACATATAGTTTTTGGTTTACGCACCTCATTTGGACAATTTTTAAGGTGCATTTGGTGAGTTCCTGCTATTCTTCAATATCAATAATAGCAATACCAACCATTTAGATAATACATTGTTTACACAAAGTTTTATCTGTACCGGTTTTGATTGATAATAACACAATAGAATTTACACAATTTATGAAATTCAATATTTAAAGTAGGCATGAAAAATAAGTTGCAAGAGTCTTTTCTTCCCTATTGTGTGAAGTATATCTGTTTGAAATATCCTTCTCGAACAAGAAAAAATGTAGTGCGGGACTTAATTTTATCCATTGGGAAATGATTGTTGGATAGTTGTGGTTTGCTAATGCGTGATCTCAAACGATTGACAGGTTGTCCCATCCTCACGCCAGTAAACACATCATCAGAGAAGAGATGTCACTGCAAGAGGGAGGGGAAGTTTGATTTAAGATTACGAGAGCACATGAATTATATTTAAAAAAAAAAGATGTGCATGATAAATCATAATACTGCAATATTCCATTAAAAATAAGAATAATCCATTTGATTTCATGGTGACTTTAAGCAAGTCATCCAAGACAATAAACAAAATTCAGGATTAAAAATAATAAAATTAAAAAAATTATATACTGTAAGGGGATTTACAGTCAAAGACCCAGAAGCAGATATGATGAATGAAGACCCAGTGTCCGAATTATAAAGAATTGAAGAAAAGTTTTACTGAAGATATAGTGAGCAGTTTCATCAGCAGAAGTCAGCTTCAAGACTCACAAGGAGTTCGTAGTCCCCCCCACCCGTCCATCCACCCACCCCGTCCCCCCCGCCCGCTTACAATTACAAAGATCACAGCAATTATACCTTCACCAAGGTCTAAGCTACGTCCTTGCTTCAGGTTGAATGATTCTCATTGGCTAAGAAATAGATAAACTAAAGATAGTAATTTTTTCACACATATACAGATAGACCAAAGCATATTGATTATGCAGCTGACACACGGACCCTGACGTTAGGCACATCATGACCTTCCAGTCCGCAGATCTGCTGGGCACCAACATGTCCAGAACAACAACTCAGTCAATCTCCAATAATGCCAGTGGTTCCTTAACCTGTAACCAAAAAGACTAACACACACCGACACACAGCTTCTTCAAGGCTGAATTTGGCCAGGCTCTAACTATAACCATGCAGGGAAGTCCTCTCAAAACATCAAGATAATACGTTCTTTCTCTCAAGGAGAGCTACATTTTAGTCTAAATGAAAAGTAAGGCTTTAACTGAGAAATGGTCCCTTAAACTGTAGACTTCAATGACCCTTGTATGTTTTAACACATGTTGAAGACCTTTCTCAAACACAAAACGAGTCCCGATTTCATTTCTATAAGCCGGGCTAATTAAAGCAAGCACTGTTACTGCATTCAGATATCAAATACATTGAATACATGAGAAGAACATTTCAGTAATCACACTGGTAACTTCTATAACAAAGTAAAATCTCATAAGCCTAGAGTCATTCAACTCATGTGATGTTAAGAAGGAAAAATATTGATTAATACCTGGATTATAATTACTCATACATTGAAGCAGCAATGTAAACCAAAATCCAGCAATATCCAACCCCTTAAATACCGAAAATTAGAAATGTAGAGACAGAAATCATTAAGTGTAGGTAATATATAAATGCATTTATTATAATCATTTGAACATGGTTTAACACACATAACTTGCATTTCTGATGAGGCCAACACAATTATGCAGCAAGGAAGCTAACTGCAGTAACTCTTGTTCTCTGCACATCTGCTGTGCAAGCCAAAACCTTGCAGAATGTTTCGTACATAAAACTAAATCAACAGAAGTCCTTTTCAATATTTCTAAAATCAATTTGCACTTTACCTGCTTTTATTTTTTATTTTCTAATCTGAGAGGGAACTTTTTTTTATTTGTTAAGGCATGCATGCTGCGTAACAAAGAATGTGATTTTGCTTTTAAATAAAAACTATCGTAATTAAATATGAGTGTGTGATCTCATCCGGGTGTCTCTCAACATCCACAAACAGAAAAACATATTGACACATTCTAATGACACAGACACGCAAAATGATGATTTGTACACAATAGAGAATTGACACACAAGCACTGAAAATTGAATATTCAAGGATTAGGAAACATCACTCACTAGGCACAGAACAATACTATTGCTATTAGAAACAGGTATTATCCAACTCTCTACACTATGTCTGTGTACCATTAGAAGAAAGATTCTTGATGGTGAACATTTCCTTATTCTAAACCTCTCCAATGACTCTAAAGGAAATAGAACAGATACCACTTTGTCTAAGCGACTGCTGATTGGTTGGAGTCAAGCAATATTGAATTGTTGACTGTCGAGCAGCTAATAGTTTCATTGATCCCTTGCTCCGAAAGCATCCACGACCAAGTGCTGACCTAGTTTTCCCTGGGTATACCATATGGCAGAGAAGCAAAACTGATTTTAGAGCAGCAATTCTTCACTTGCAGAATGACCAAAAGATCATCTTTAAAGCTGTGTGCAATGTTACGGCGGACAGATTGTTCTAGAAAAAGAGCAATCGTACCTTACAGTACTATGTGTTAGAGAGAGTTAAATGCTACTGACATTCTGAGGGTCACCTTCCGGTCTCAAAACCTGTATATCACATTTTTACAACTCAGATGGCTCAAGTAGAGTCAACTTGCCAATGGCAACATTCTAAAACAAAAACAAGAGGTCCTAAAATTAACCCGCAGCAGATTATTCAAAAACTTGGGAGTATTTTCTGTATTACAACACATGTGCAACAAAAATTCCTCAGTCACAGCACCTTGTGTTTTGATTCCAAATTCATCATGCAGTTTCCAGTCACAACACTCCCTTTTCCAGAATTGCATGTCATATTTAAGGATATAAAAATAAAATTAACGAATGTCCAAAAAAGTTAATAAAACAACATCAAAAAAGTGCATACATGTATTTACAGTCTTGCTTAAAGCATAACACATATACTTTTCTTTGTGTATACTCAGATTATTAGTAGTCTTCATTATATAAGGAGACATAACACATAGCAGGACTCAAAAATATTCCATTGAGTCACTTGTTGTGAAGATGTTTGCATTGCGGTATTGAATAGCCTGGCTGTTAGGGGGGAGAAGCAGGGAAGAGGAAGTGTACATACAAGTGCAAAGAAGAGTCATAGATTAATCCATCCAGAAAAGCACATTGAAGATGGCATAAAGTGTTCATCCAGCATCTATATGATCGTGTCAACTATCTGCAAATGTCCTGATATCCTCAGCAGTGCAGATTAAGTGTCCAGGGAACAGTCGCAAAAGAAGCATAAAGAAACAGGCCAGCGAGTCCTATATAAACAGTAATGGATGTTCGTATAAGATGTTAAATATCAGTCATTAGGATTGCAAATGTTTTTCTGACATTTGATATGTCGTTCCTGGCTGAATGCGGTAAATTCAGTGGAGTTTTTTAAAATCTTTTTGGTCACTGTAGGGAGATTTTTATTGTACAAGTTCAAGGTTTGATCCCTCCTGATGAAAACGAGAGAGCAAAAGCCCACAAACTATAGTTTGTTTATCTCTCAGGATACCAAAGAGGCAGTTGTCAGATAATTCAAGGTAACGAGACAGATGGATGCTGACAAAATGCCGAAATGTTTCTCAAACAAGATTTCAGATCCCCTTCAGAAAAAAATGATAGGCAGTTCACATCAAGGGCACTTGCTTCAACATTCCTCAGAAGGTTGGATTTAGGTTGGCGTGGCTTTGCCCAGAATTGCCTTGGGAGATCATGAAAGTCTTTATGTTCAGCAGGTTGCAGAAGATATTTTCTCCTCAAGCTCAGTGTATTGTGGGAAGACAAAAATGGAATTGAAGATACGCTGGTTGGACGATTCTTATAGTCTAGGATATCCCGAACACCTCAGTCAGAGTTCTTGGTTCTGCTGCCTGCATGTCCTTAAGTGCCCGAAGCATGCATCGCACTCTCTTCCTAAACACATATTGATGATGTTCTTCAGCTTGGTCTGAATTTAAATGCATTAACAGTGAGATAATATGATAATCCTTCAATCTGGTATAAAGAGACTTGTTCACATGTTGGCTGTTGGCCAATGCACATGCTATTGGGAGCTGTCATGAGATTGTCAATGTAAATACATCCAATCCTGTCAACAGACTCATGCTTCAATGTTCAGTAACGGGTACATTTACAGTTAAACTGCATGGAATACATTCAAAAAATAAAAGTTAAAGTAAAAAACCTCCATATTAATTCACTATTCTATACTTAGAGAATTTAAAATACTTTTCAAGTAACAAAAACTGAGGATAAATGTTGCACTGCCAAAAAATGGCCCGTAATCAATGTGCATTGGTTTCTGCGTCCATTGCAAAAAGATTTTTATGTGCATTTATGAGTTTATGTGTATGTTAAATAAAATTTATGTCTGAAGAGGAGCTCCGGCCCTAACGCTCTGACTTGACTTTATACCGCAGAACAAGGTACGTGGCAAGTCTCAGAATTACGAAAAAGAGCCCCAGCACAATGAAGTCTACGTAGAGCTTAGCATCCTCCACATCCAGCAGCTGCAGCACCTCTTCTGGTTTCTGGAACTTACACACCACGCCGGGACACTCCAGCTCTGAGCGGTTCATGCCATAGATGGAGAGGATCACACCCTCAAAACCATACCTGCAGAGGAATAGATCAGTGTGTGGGTGTGATATTTTTGTGATAGGGGATGAATGTCTGTTTATGATTGTTATTGTTATGGTTCTTGACTGACCTGACGTACGACACATAGGAGCTCCATTGAAGGTATTTGGGGATGGTGTCAAAGTTGACAAAGAAGCCCGAGAACAGAAGAACTGGGATGGCAGAGACTGGACCTACAAATGTGGCAACCTGAAGATGTGAAAGAGGAAAATATAAAGAACAGTCAATGTAAAAGGGAATTTAACTGAATGCATTTTTAGGGCTGTCAAAGTTAACTAGTCAAGTTAAAATATTAATAAAATGTTATGTTCCGTTACTTGGTCTGCTCCCTGGTCGGTTCTCGTTAACGTTTACATTAAGTTTGGTGTAGTTATCTTTCTGCTAATAAAGTTTTTTTTAATCTTCGTCTTCAAGTCCTGCCTACACCACGCCCAGCCATAGCGTGACAGCAATATTGTTTAACAGATTTACTGAATTATTAGAGTATCATTGAGTGGTCTAAAGACTGTTTGGAATTATGAGAATAATCTTTAATCAGACAAATTACTTAATTTATGTTTGAAAACTCCTCTGTTAAAGTACATGTTGTGTATAAATGACATAGGATACAACACATATTTTTGTTGATATGTGCATGATATCATAACTGCCAGGCAATGACACTGACATAAAATTTAAATGTATTCAGGTATTAAATGTATTAAAATGATCATAGCAAAAATAAATGCATTACATTTTAGATTCACTGATGTACACTGCAGTTCAAAAGTCTGGGGTTAGTACATCTTTTAATGTTTTTGAAAAAAAGCCTTATGGTCACTGCATTCATTTGATTGAAAAAAAAAACAGAGATGTTGTGAAATATTGTTACAATTTAAAATAACTGTTTTCTATGTCAGTATATTTTAAAATGCAGTTTATTACTCCTGATGGCAAAGCAGAATTTCCAGCAGCAATTACTCCAGTCTTCTCCAGTGTCACATGATCCTTCAGAAATCTGTCTAATATGCTGAATGGATGCTCAATAAACATTTCTTATTATTATCAAAATTGAAAACAGTTGTGAAGATAAATATTTTTGTGGAAAACGTGATATATTTGTCTTAGTGGGGTGTCTCAAATTCATTAACATATACGTAGACCACAGCTCTTACAATAATAGTAACTTCATTAACATTTAAGGAGGTAAATTCATTAACATTCATTGTGACGCCGACGAACCCAAGGTGCTTTATATACTTGTCACTGCTACGCTGAAATAAACTTCTTCAAAATCTACATAATTTTTTCTTACACAATTTTAAAGTCTTCACTGTCACTTGTAGTGAGTTTAATGCATCCTTACAGAATAAAAATATTAATTTCCTTTAAAAAAAAAAAAATTACTGACCCCATACTTTTGAATGGTAGTGCATGTTACCACCACTAGTTTGACGTCCTCATACCTGCAGTGAGGTGGATGCCGCTCCAATGAGAAGCCCCAGAGACTGAGCCACTAAGGCAGTGGAGGTGGACAGCGCCATAAAGAGCAGATACCTTGCAGCCTCTGGAGGCTGCTTTGTCATCCAGTACACTATACTGCAGTACATTATCGGACAAATGACCTGGAAGAGTGAGAAGAAGCACTCATAAATTTTACCTGAGACATATGAACGATTCGAAAAGTGTGACAGACCCAGTAGGGCATTGATTGACATCCTCCCAACATTTAGAAATGTCTGTCCTCTCACATGCCAACTTCTCAAGCCCTTTGAATTAGTGGCTATGCTTTGATTTAACATGATCACATGAGAAAGATGTAAACAGAAGTACCTGAAATGGAATGTCAGCCATGGTCTTAGCCAGGTAATACGCCTTTAGACTGTACCAGTAATTAAGATGTTCCCTCATGAACACTGACATCTCCATTGGAACTGCAAGGAAAATTCATCATTGCATCAGCGTCTAATTTGATCCACTGATTCTGTAAGAACCATAACTCTCAATCAAGCCAATAAGAACGCTTCTAATTCATAACAAACCAAAAAGGATTTAGTAATCACTCAGATCAAATCTGTTTTCCATGCTCATAAAGAATTAAGCAAACACAACCAAACACACAGATTGCCTTACATGTAAGAACGGTGGGCATGAGTGCAGCAAACATGAGAAACAGCATGGAGAAGAACAAGAAGCCAGTGTTGTTGAACACTTTGCTGGCATCATTCCCAATGTTCAGGTACAGCAGACCAATCAGCACGCCGATACACAGGTGTGACATCACCCTCAGGTGGGTTAATACCTGAACACACACACAGAGACGTTGCTTTTGTTGTTGGATTTCTTTAACATCCACAGACAATAACAAGAGAGGATAATTCTTACCGTGTCCCTGCATATTGTGATGAAGGTTCTCTTGAAGAGGATGCAGAACTGTGTGAAGGTACTGGTGGCAAAAGTGTGTTTCTCAATGTAGCCTGAATCCTGGTCGAATCCACAATAACACAAGAGGTGAGCGGGTCAGAGACTGATAAAGAGACTGACAGATTTTGTGTGTGAGAGTGTGTGTTCATCGCTCACATTATAACACTGGGAGGGGCAGGATGTGGTGGGGTCATTCTTGTCAATGGAGTTCTTCTTGCTCTCATCTGAACACAGGCCTCCCTGAACAGCCTCGAAGAGCACAGGGTTCAGATCACCGTACTCTCCTGAGGCGACCTCGATTACTGCCAGCAGAAAGACAGCAGAATTCATACACATGCTGAGAGACTGACTGATAGGCAAGAGGAGCCGAAAACAATTATTAACTCTTTGAATACACTGGCATGATGCCTTCAGCAACTCAATCACACTGGATACAATATATACTGTAACTAATATTACAATAAATAAATAAATAAATAAATAAAACAATCAAAAACAAATAAAAGTAAATTAGGAGATACACTTTCGTTCAAAAGCTCTTATGCTCACCATTTCTGCATTTATTTGATCAAAAATATTACAGTAAAAACAGTAATATTGTAAAATATTATTTAAATTTAAAAGAACTGTTTTCTATTTTAATATATTTTAAAATGTCATTTCATGAGTTTTCATTAGCTGTTACTCTAGTCGTCAGTGTCACATGATCATTCAGAAATCATTCTAATATGATTTGCTGCACAAGAAACATTTCTTACCACTATCAATGTTAAATTGATTTAAAAAAAATGCAGGATTCCCTGACCAAACATATTGGCTTAAATCTTATTAATTTCTTATTAATATTCTTATTAAAATCTTATTAAATCTTATTAGGTGTGACATTTTTAAAGGGATAGTTCACCCAAAAATGAAAATGTTGCCATCAATGTTGTTTCTCTCTCTCTCTCTCTCTCTCTCTCTCTCTCTCTCTCTCTCTCTCTCTCTCTCTCTCTCTCTCTCTCTCTCTCTCTCTCTCTCTCTCTCTCTCTCTCTCTCTCTCACTCTCACTCTCTCACTCACTCTCTCTCTCACACACACACACACAAACACATACACACGCACATACACACACAGTAGACCTACTAAAGTCTGCAGGATTGTGGTATGTGGGGCAGTGGAGTCCAAGGTTTTTCAGGTAAGGGATAAGGTACGGTACCGTCCCCTTATATATACACTGACCTTGACTCAGGATATAAAGCTACACAGAAGAACAGACAGAGTATTGAAGAAGAACATGAACACATTAATATCCTCATACACTTCCAGTCCTTCAACCCAGAAACACATTTTTCACAATACGATATCATTTTAGAATACAGCAATGACCTTGTCAAACATTTCAAATAGTTTTGCACTGGGCTGGTGGATCGTACAGATAATGGTTCTTCCTCCCAAAGCTAGAGATTTCATCAAGGACACCACCTGGAAACAGGACGCGCTGTCTAGACCACTAACATACAGAGACAAACACACGTAAGTTTGGAAATATTAAACAGAAAGGTTTCGTAAAGGAGCAATATTAATGCATACATTGTATTTTAAAAGGATTATGGTTAAGAATAAAGCTGTGTGTAATACTAGAGCTCTGGGTACCTGGTGGGTTCATCAAAAAACATGACAGGAGGGTTGTTGACCAGCTCCAGAGCAATAGCCAACCGCTTACACTGGCCACCAGACAGGGAGATGGTGCGAGTTTGGGCGCACTCCTGCAGTCCTAATGCTGTGAGGATCTCATTCACCTGTCACACATTATATCATTAGTTATGCTAACACATAAACACAGTGTCACCATTCAGCTTCATAGTTTTGATCATTTTTCTAACATAACATAGGCTACTATCTTAGTGGTGCTGCAAAAGCTTACCAGTTCTTTTTTCACGTCCATATTTTCATTAAGTTTAAGGTTAGCAGAAACCTAAACAAAACAAAGAAAGATTACATTAAAACAGGGCTAATCTATAATCAACTATATAAAAAAACTCTATACGGATATAATTGAAGGTGTTTATGTACAAATAATTGTGCATAAAATAATTATTTGAATTGAAATTATTTTATTATTTGAGGAAAAGAGATTGGTTGCCAGGGACAATTTTTATATATACTGCTTAATGAAAATGATGCATATATTTGTCCACAGAATGCAGTGATTGACCAATCAGAATTAAGTATTCTAGAGCGCTTCTCATGCTCACACATGCAGACACACACAAAGGATCTCACCATCATTGCCTCTCGTGTTGTTAGGTTTGGCAGTAGCATGTCTTCTTGCATAATGTAACATGACATTTTTCGAAAGGTGCGGAGGTCACGGGGTCGCCCGTTCACCAGAATTTGTCCTTTCATGCCTGTCTCTCTGCAGGAAGATAGAGACATGGGACAGAAATCTTAATGAGACTAGAAAAAGAAAGGCTGGGAAGTGATAAACAGGAAATGAATTATGGAATATTCCTTCTATGTGCATAAATGCATGCCCACCTATAGCCGGCAAGAATGTTCATGAGAGTAGACTTGCCGGCCCCGGAGGGTCCCATGATTCCGATAAGCTCCCGACTGCAGAACTTTCCGGACAGACACTTCAGAAGGGCCTTAAATCCTGCACACAGCATTTTGGGTACATTGTGTTTATTCTGCTGAGAGTTACAGCTTGCCAAATTAAATGCATGACAGAGTTAGCTGGCATCAAACAAAAATAGGCTTGATTAAACATTGAATTATATGAATATACTGTATACAAAATCAAAACATGTGAACTCCAATGAAGTACTTTGTAATATTTAAAATATTAACCCTCAAGTAATGTCCAATAAAATTATTTAAACTAATGACAGAATAACAGTCACGATTTGAAACATCATCCAATTGTGCTGAAAAAGCAATGAAGTTCAATTCCTTCCACCTCATTCATTTGAATTTAAACATATTATGTGACATGATATAATAATGATTAATGCAATCACTTACATTACTAACCAGATATACCACAGACTGTTAAACATCATGAAAGGAACTTACATTTTTTTTAATTTACACTAAAACTGTTCAGGGTAACAAAAGAATGAACGAGATAAACAGTTGAAATTGCCTTTAGCTTGATGGATTTAAATTTAAATTCTTCCACAAAAATTAGACCCCCCATGTTAGTAGACTGAGTCATACCAGTGACTCTTATCTCTGCCTCAAGAGGGAGACAGAAACTTGTGCTGCTACTGCCACTCATTGTTAGCTTCTTGTTTATGTCAGTGGTCTTAAATCTTTTTGAAATAGCAAAAATTACATAGTATGCAAGTGTTGACTTGTAAGCCTAGCAACTTTAAGAAACATGCATTTTACATTTAAAGGTTTAGGGTCAGGAAGATAAAAAAAAGGAAAGAAAGAAAGAAATTAATACTTTTATTCACCAAGGATGCATTGATCAAAAGCGACAATAAAGACTTTTCGTTGCTACAAAAAAACTTTATTTTGAACTCTCTATTCATCAAAGAATCCTGAAAAAGAATGTATCACTGTTTCCACAAAATATATCAGAAATCTACAACACAACTGTTTTAAACACTGATAATAATAAATGTAATGTAATGAAGATTCCGCTTTGCAATATTTTTTATGTTTAAAATATTACAAATATATATATATATATATATATATTTATTTTTTTTGTGCAAAAAACTTTATTACATTATAAGTGAACCTCGAGGAACATATTAAAATAAAAATAAAAATCCATGTCATGACCCCTTTAATGCAAAAGAAAGAGTTCAGAATCTGTAACAGTGGTATCCAGACCCCCTTAGGACCACAGATGCCTCACTGAAGATCCCTGGTTTTATGTTATACGTTTTGTCTTCCCCCTTTATCTGTATGTCTCTCTATATTTCAGTCAGATCCTTGAGTCATTAGTTAAGTGCTCTGATTGCTCTCTTTCATTCCCTGAATTTCTCTCTCCTTCTCCGCATATCATGGAAAAATTTATGTACGATAAGTGACAGAATGGAGAAAGAGAAAGAGAAAGAGAGCGACATGGGCAACACCCTCACATCGACCTATAATTTCCTGTATGCTTCTCTGCATACCAATGATCTGATTCTGTGGCGTGCATGAGTATTAAATGCTAGCAACTCATCCACAAATGATATGCCCTGCATCCTGTTGTAACTAATAATTCATCTTTAGATTTTGCAACATGCTGAGGATGTGTAACCTGAGCATTAATCTGCTCATATATTTTTCTCCATCTCCAGCATGAGTTAAAAACAAACAGCACTGCGTGAGATCACTTACATGGGTCTGTGCTATAGAATAGGCTGAACTGGGATCAGCCTGAGAGCGCTCTTGGAAAGTTTAAACTCATTTAATCAATAGATGCATCTATGCAGTTTGTGGTTGTGTGCTGATAAGGAAGAAAGCATCAATCTGCTAGCGATATGGTCTTGTGTTAGAAACGTACAGCTCTACAGAGTGTTAGGAGGGTTCCTGAAAGGAAATTAAGACTAAAAGTCAGTATTTATATTCACAATCTAAATCTTTTTGCCTTAAAAAGTTTTACTCATTAAAATATTATTATATTTACATGGAGCAGGTTGCTTTGGACGGAGCCCAACACATGACATACAGGAAAAAAATTATATTGTGGCCATGTTTCAACATCTTTGCCATGTTGTACTATTTCATTCACTTGTTTTAATAGTTAAATAGTAGTTAAATCAATTTAATGAAAATAATGGAACGAATTAGTACAACATGGCCATGATTTACCTAAAATGAGGAAACAAATTATAATTATGAATAATTTGCTCATATAGGCAAACACGATTTTGTGGAAGGGCTATGAGAGCTAAAAATTTAAATACTGAATGAACTGTGCAATGACAGAATACTTATAGTTCTCTAATTGAGGTCTGGTAGAATACATTTACATGATTTCAAGTTCAAAAACAACTTTTTTTCCCCTCTTACTACATTGCTGCAGCACCCTTTTTTCACCTTCTGCCTGAAACGCTCTGTTTTAGTTCATGTCTCTTTAAAGCCTGCCTTTTCAAAAGGTCCAGTCTGTGCTCTGATTGGTCATCTGGCCCAGTCTGTTGGTCAAACGCTTATAGAGTGTGTCAGAAATGTAACACCCTTTAACATAATCAAGTTTCTGCTCCGGAGGCTTTGTGAGCAGCTAAAACCTGTATGGTAACAATGGTGTCGGTAAAGTCCATTCCAGCCGTACAGAGAAAAAAACAGTATTTCCTCGACATAGCAAATTCACTCACCCTGTTCTTTGAGGGCGGACCAAAGCAGCCAGTAGGCATTATGCAAATGTATAGTCAAAGAATGTGTAGTCAGAAATAATGGCAGGACTACAAACAATGCATTTTTAGACAAGTATTTTCTGTTGGAGAAATTAACTCCCTTTACTGTGGACTTTGTGCTTTGTACCTCTGCAGATTGTTTGTATGCACAAACAGCTATATCACACACTGAAAAAAAATGTTTTTAAAAAGCATAACAGGTGCCTTTTAAGATTAACACCCTCAAGCAAGAGCACAAAATCTAATTTCCCTTTCGAACGGTCACTTCGTATTGCGTAGCTATACGCAGTGGGGGAAACTCCTTTTCCTCGATTTACTGAAGCCTATATGTAAAACGCATTTGCAGCTGCACAGCTAGCACACTGAGCGTCTGACACGCTCATAGGCTGTGCTGCAGCAACTGCACATGCGCCTGCGCCCAATGGCGCAGGCGACTCTGACGCGCGACCAATGAGCTAGCCCAACGTCAGAGCCCGCCGAGGGGGCGTGGCCCAGCCTATATAGACCCCCGAATTCGCCATTATAGCAGATTTTACTCCTTCAGCGACAGTACACATGTCCCTGAGCTTTTTACTGTGTATTCGCCGTCGAACAAGCCTTTCAGCCTGAGCGAGCTTCTCTTCAGCAGACTTCGCCTGCACGTCGATTGTCTCCTGACGCCGTCTCACCTGTGGCTATCCGGCGACATCCTATATCCTTTGCAAAATTATATTGTGTTCTTTTCAGTATGCCTCGTTCATCCTGCGCCACGTGCGGAGGCCGTCTGCACGAGGCAGACCAGCACACGAGCTGCATTTCCTGCCTGGGTGTCGACCACGCAGAGAATGCTCTCGCTGCCGGCGGATGTGCGGCCTGCGACAGCATGCCTATCTCCGTGCTGCGCAATCGGCTAGCTCTCTCTCGGGACGGCGATGCCGCTTCAACCACGCTTTCCATTCCGAGGAAGAAGAAGCGTCGCAGCCAACGGCAACCGGAGGGTATGGAGATTTGTGAACGCACGCCGGCCGCGTCCCCGCGTGCTTCACTTTCTCCGACTCAAACGCCATCACCGGTCCTGTTCGCAGGAGACCAGCGCCCAACCAGCGGACCCGGAGACCTCGAGCTCGAGTGGGCCTCGCCCGAGGAGCCGCCTCGTAGTCGGCTGGATGGATGGTTTCTGGAGGGGCGCCAGCAGGCCCCGCGTCACAAACCGGCGCCATTTTTCCCCGAGGTCCACGAGGAGCTAACCAAGGCCTGGCGCACTCCATACTCAGCACGTGTGGGATCTGCAGTTTCCGCGACGCTCTCCTCCGTGGATGGCGCAGCGGAAAAGGGTTATGAGTCTTTGCCGCCCCTTGAAGAGGCCGTGGCAGCTCATCTTTGCCCGAACACTGCAGCTAGCTGGCGAGCTAGAGCCGCTCATCCCAACAAACCCTGCCGTAACACCTCAGCCCTCGCTGGACGCGCGTACTCCACCTCCGGTCAGGCTGCATCGGCCCTGCACACGATGGCCGTGTTGCAGGTCTACCAGGCCAAACTCCTCCGGTCCATGGACGAGGCCGGTCCGGACCCGGAGACCTTTCGGGACCTGAGGAGTGCCACTGACTTAGCGCTGCATGCTACTAAGGCTACAGCACAGGCCATCGGAAGAAACATGGCGAGCTTGGTCATGCTCGAGCGCCATCTTTGGCTTAACCTCACCGAGATCAAGGAGGCCGACAGAACGAGGTTTCTCGACGCCCCGGTGTCCAGCTCCGGTCTCTTCGGCCCGGTGGTGAAGGGATTCTCGGAAAGGTACACAGAGGCACAGAAAGCGTCCCAGGCCATGCGACACTTCTTGCCGAAACGTTCGAGCTCCGCGACCAGCAAGCCCAAGCCGCCGCCTTCGCCTCATCCAGCCAAGCCGGTGAAACAGGCCTCTCAGCCCCGCCCTGCGGCTGATGGCCAACGCCAGTCAAGGCCCGCGAAGCGCTACCCGCTCCCCAGGCGTCAAGGCCCTCGACCCAGCGCCGTGGCCGACCAGGTGCCTCCGAAGTCGTCCTAGCACGGAGGGGAAAGAGAGAGGGCTCGTGTCTCGCGCTAGCCGGACCACCCTCGAAAAAAACAGCAAAACTTCCCACAGCTCCCTGTTCAGTTCAGGCGGCTGGGGATTTTATTATTGTAAACAGGCCCGCAGCAGTGAGCGCATCTTCACGGCCGTTTTCACGGCGACCCAAATAAAGCACAAAAAGAGCATGTTTCACAATCACAACACACGGGTTCACGCTCCCCCTTCACTAGGCGGCCCCCGCCCTGTTGTAACACTGACTTCCCCCCGGGC